AATATATCACCAAACTACATTCCACTTCTTGTTGATACTAACAATAGAGAAACACTGCACAGTACTGCTAGCTTACAATGGTGTTGTCGTCCAATGTCTCAATGTAGCTTAACATATGATGTGAGAGACTGTCTCTAACACATGGGAAGACAAGAAAACTAGAAAACGAAAAGGATAACTGAACCAACCAGAATAGCATTGGGCTTCCCAATGGACCAAAGATTAACCTTGTGATCTTCTCCACCGGTTACAAGAACCCTCGACGACTTCCTCCCAATCTTGAGGCAGTTGACACTCAAAGAATGTGCTACAAACTCCTCTATGACAGCATAAAATCAAGGCCAACAAAACAAAACAAAAAAGAAATTTACCCTGTTGTTGCAAAATCTTTTAACCAATGGCACCTATGAGCACCATAGATCAAATTCATTTTAACTTTATTTCAGTTAGTAATCTAAACTCATTATCCAGCATAAGAATGGGGAAAAAAGAGGAATAATAACAATTAGAAGGATACGTAGCTTATAAGCACGTTTAGTGGTAGTCATCTAGAAGTTGAAACGGGAAATTGCTATGAAAATGAGGACGAGAACCCCTAGAAGCGGCAGTGGCGGCTATGTTCTCAGCAGCCTGTCCCTTCATTCTACTGAATCGCTCCAGATCTCAACTACCGGCCTCCACATTTTCGAAATTCAATCCCAATATTACCCAATAAAAACCACTACCAATCCCTAGGCACTGACTGATAGAGTGATAGAACAGCTTCAAGACTTCTCCGGTACCCGGCGGCCGGGGGACCGACGAAGACAACACTGTATTCCGTGTTCTTGAAGGGTTTACCCGCGAATGTCGGGGAAGTTACGAGAAGTACGGCTATGGAACTGGGCCACAGAACTTCCCTTCGCGTATAAAGGAAGAAAATACTAACAATGGATTATGGGATTATGCAATATTGTAGTGATGAAGATGACAAGAAGGCGGAAGAGGAAAGAAATGGGGGTGTTCGAGATCCCTTTAGGGGAAGGTGATGATGTGATCCTTAATCTTTGTTTTCCTTTTTTTTTATTTATAAATTTTATAAATAGTTTTAATGGTAGTGATTTTTCATATTTAATCTTTAATTTTAAAATATTTCTTCCGTCCTTATATAGTTTATACTTTACGTAAAACATTATTCAAAAAAAATATTTTACGTAAAACAAAGTAAAATTTTATATTTTTTCAATTCATTTTATATAAAGATTGGTATATAAATAAAAAATAAAGTTACATTTTTTTTAAAAAATAAACCAAATAGCACCACTACCTCTCATAGTTCGGAAAATAGGCACAAATAACACCACAGTTTTCAAAACTTATTTTTAAAATCTCTTTGGTTTCAAAATGTTGCACCTATACCCATAGTTTTCAGAACCGAACCGGCCATCGAACCGGTCAAGGCACTGGTTCAATGTTTTACAGGTCGAACCAGTGGTTCGAGTGGTTGAACCAGTGGTTCAAACATTTTATATATATATATATATATATATATATATATATATATATATAGGGGCCGGTTCCCGTGAGAATGCACCTTGTGGAGAGAAATGAGAATAAAATCTAGCCGTCAGATTTGAATATTTGATGCATCGTGCGGCTCAGATTGCATCCTGCGCTCAGATTTTGAGATAGTGCATTTTCGAAGGTTTATGGTGCATTTCGACGTGATGCATTTTCGAACCATTTTGGTGCATCTAATTTTGATGAAATCTTGACCCTTAGATCTCACAATCTAAAACACCAGATTCATTCTCATTTCTCTCCTAAGATTGCATTCTCACCCAAACCAATATATATATATATATATATATATATATATATATATATATATATATAACACACACACGCATACACATACTCACATACACACACGTTTCATTGACTTTAAATATGAGTAAATAAAATCATATAGTTCCTCTATTTATAAATAAAGAATTGATGTTTGACTAGATTTATAATTTAATTTAATTACTTGTGTTGTGTCATTTAATAAAAGATAAAATTTACTTATTTAAAAATATTAAAAAATAAAAAGTGATTTGATGTTTAGTTAAAAAAATATATACTCCGTAGTATATTTTAAAAGTTTTGATAGAGAATATTTTTATTAAAGAATATCAAAGGAAAATAGCATAGAGTGCCCACAAGCCATTGTGGCGGAGATGGTTTGTGAAGACTGCTTTCAGGCGTGTGGTCTTGAGTTCGAATCCAGTGCGTTTTTGAGAATCTTCTCAAAAGAATTAAAAACCCGGTTCTGGTGGTAAAACCGGCCGGTTTTATCCGGTTTCATCCGGTTTTCACTGGTTCATTGTAGAGTGCGGTCTTGTTGCCCAAATCGGACCGGTTTGGTGTCCGGTTCACCGGGTCCCGGTCCGAACCGGCCGGTCCGGCTTTTAAAACTATGCCTATACCCCTTCTGATCATTTTCCGGCCATTTTTCTAAAAAGAAGGGGCATTAGTAGGGCTGTGCATTATTCGGTCCAAACCCGGACCGGCCCGAAGACCGGCCAAAACCGGACCGGACCGGTCCGGACCGGTCCTAATTCGGTCCGGTCTCCGGTCCATAAATTTCTGTTATCCGGGTTCCGGTCCGGTCCAAACCCGGTGAGACCGGTGGACCGGATATATCATTAAGTTATGGGCTTTATCCTTTAGGGCTTTAGTCCATTAGTCCAGTAGCTCATCGCCTCATCCACTTACGCAATTGCCAAAGAAAAACCAAATCGCCACACAGAGTCGCACACTCGCAAACAACCCTACCCACTCCTGCCGATTGCGGAAGAAAACTCAACGCACTCACGCACCGGCGCAGCGCAGCAGGCACGAGGCGATTCTCCGGTAATCGCAGGGCTTTCAGCAGTCCACTTCGTCCGGCGTCCGCACTCCGGTGACTCCACAGGTACGCAACTCTGCCCAATTCTCAACTTGTAGATTCTTGATAAAATGTCATAGGGTTAACTAATTTGCAACTTTGTCCTGATTTCCAGTCACTTGGTCCAGATTCTTGCTTTGAATCATCTATGTCATATATACACTTCATATATGCTTGAAGTTCTTCATATACATAATTAAAATCGTAAGGAACAAAAGCTATATTTAATTTTCATTCTTTGACTTTAAACATAATTTTTTTGTTATAAATTTTAATGCTCGTTGAAGCCTTTTCTGAAAATATTTCTCTTCAATTTTTTTGATTTGTTTTACTTATTTAGTTTTGAAATTTATATGAATGGTTATATTTATTATGTTTAACAGAGTATTGACTATTGATTATGGGACTTTTTGGAATATTGAAGTATGTTGTTTGGAGCATTGGAGTAATGGAGTATATTGTTTTCCAAAGAAACTGCCATTCCCCCTTATTCGGTCCTTATTGGGCCGGTCCGGACCGGTCCAGTTTTTTTCGGTCCGGTCCCGGTCCGGTCTTACACTTTATGTCTTTATCGGTCCGGTCCCCGATCCATTAGTTTGCCCTTACTCGGTCCCGGTCCGGGTCGGTCCGGGTTTGGACCGATGCACAGCCCTAGGCGTTAGTGCCTATTTTCCAAATCATTTATCGAGCCATCTTATTTCTTATTTTTCGTTTATTATTTAGTTTTCCCGTTTTTTCTTTTTTGTTTCTTTTATTCATCAAGGGTTTTTAAATTTTTCTAAATTACTTTTATAATGTTCTTTAAAATATATAATTATTTTTGTTTGAAAAATAATTATTAACATATACTACATCTCCAAGTCTCAAATTAACAATTTTTATATTTTGTTTTCTGGAAGAAAAAAGTAAAAAAGTGAACTTCAAAAAATGAGTAATAAAATAAGAAATAAAATAAAAAAAAATAAAAATGAATCCTTTTTGGACATCAAATTCTAAGGATTTTTTAGGCAATTTGAAAATTTCTTTTTGTGTGACTTTGTTTTGTATGTTTCAATTTTTTCGGCTCGTTTTTCCATATGTCTATTTTTATTCTGGATACTGTTGGAACTTACCAAAAAATTCTAGAAAACAAAACGTGAAAAATGATAGTTTTTATCCTCCGTGACCACTCAAGTGAGTGGCCATTGAACTTGTTTGTTCACAATTCTTCCATATGTAAGAATTACAGAGTAGTTTTCTATAAATTTATTCTAATACTCCCTCCATCTTAAAATAAATATTCTCGTTACTATTGCGATATTTCGATAAGTTTTGTTCATGTGTAATTTTTGAAAGTTTATTCTAATATAATACCAAAACATGACACTTATCTTCAAAATAGAACTGTTATGATTTTATCTCAAAATATGAGTCTCATGATTTTATCTCAAATTAAACCTAGGATAATTTTAAATTTTTTAAAAAATAAACTTCTTCAGCCCATACAATTTACTTCCCAAATGTGATTCTCTTTCCCAGATCTCTCTCTCCAAAGTTCAACCACATATTTCTCACCTCACCAACGTTAGAGCAGAGGTTACTGATGTCAGTGCGGGAGCAGTCCAGTATGCGGTAGATGAAAGTGTGACAGCGGTTCTCAATGACAGTGCTGTAGGTGGTAAATGAAAGTGTGGCCTTGATGATTTCACACACACATATATACACACAAACATACATACAGATACATACATACATACATACATACTGATGGATATCGGGTCTGGTAGACCCGACTTCAGGCCCAAATGAAGGCCCATAATGGCCCAAAAGGAATAAGATCAGATGGGATGACGGGCCAAGCCCGTTATCTCATATTTGGCAAGTGGAAGGAGACGGCCCAAACATGAGGTAGATCAAAGCGACCCAGTCCAAAGGAGGAATGGGACACGTGGCCCACATCGTCGAGTTATGGGCGAAATGGGAAGAGAACGAGACCGGAAAGAAGGAGAATCACAACCCCATGATCTCCATAATCCATTTCCATTTTGTGTAATTTTAATTGGAATATTAGAAGTACTATAAAAAGGGGAAAACCCGCCATTGTAAAGCAAGTCACAAGAAGATAGTGCAATACACAACAAAGAATATTATCGAGTGATTATATCTTCCTAATTCATATTCCGTTCTTGGTCCGCCATCTGATCGGGTTAATCCCATCATTGGTGCTTTCATTGAGAGAATACTGTGAGATAAGGCTGTGAGATTATGGCCGGACGAAGGACGAGACGTAACCTTGCTACTTCTGCCCAGTCGACGGTGAGGAGTGACAACCCTGAGCAGGGTATGATTGTTCCTGTCAATGGGTTGGAAACGGCGCTAAATAATGTGGCTAACATGATGGCCAACATTATGGAGCGATTGGATAAGGCTCTTCCAGGTCCATCCGGAACCCGGGATATCCCACCCGGGCAACCCCGCCAGGTCCTGCGTACTGCGAGTTCTCCTATCCTACAGGAACTCCACGATCCGGAGGAGGTTGAAAGGGAAAGGCAAGCCATTGACAGACGCCGGGCGGAGGAATTGGCCCGGAACAACAAGGTGAATAGAGGGCCAGGCTAAGGACCCAAGCCGGATCTTCGGCGATGGACACGAGAATCCGCGGGGATCTGTCTTTGAAAGGATATCTCGCAGAAAGCTCACGTTAGTGAGAGGCTGGGGAAGAATCCGGAAAAGGCACCCCAGGGTTGGATACGACCTCAGGCCAGCCAGGTGGCATCCTCCAATCGCGAACCCCGGCAGCGGAATGACCGAGGCGTGAGCCAAGTGCCAGTCCGGTCGTTGCGGAATCTGGAGGAGGATGAGGTTCAAAGCCAGGCCAGGGTCCCAGCACCAAGGCGTCTAGGACCGCCGTTGCCGGAAGCTGGTGAATTTCAAGATCTGAGGCAGTAGATCCAGGAGATGCAGAGGAAGATAAACAAGGGTCGAGTATTCACTACTCGAATGAATACTCCCTTGGCTCCAGAGATTTTTGCGGAACCATATCCGCAGGGATTCAAAATGCCATTTGTCAAGCGTTATGACGGCGAATCAGACACCCAAGAGCACATAAATAGCTATGTCCAAGTGATGATCGCCGTGGACGCCAGTGACGCACTCATGTGTCGGAGCTTCTTGCAGACCGTTGATAGCAAGGTTGCAGACTGGGTCAACCATATCCCTGCCGGATCCGTCCGAACATGGGATGAATTGGGACTACGGTTCCTAGAGCATTTTGCTGGGAACTGCCGCCCCAAAAAGCATTTCACTCACTTGGCATCAGTGCGACAGAAGCATGGAGAATCCTTGAAGAATTTCCTTATCCGATGGAGGAAAGAGTCCAGGGAGGTTGAAGGAACAGATGATAAGTCCAGGTTAGCTATGTTCACGGCAGCATTACAGGATGGACTCCTCCACACCGATCTCACTACACATCCCCCGGATACCTTCGAAGAAGCGATGGTCCGGGCTGGGAGGTATGTGACCCTGGAAGAAAGAAAGGAGGAGAAGAAAGAGAAGACTCCTAAAGAAGAAGAGAAGTCGGGAACAAAGAAGCCGTTTAAGAATAAGAAGCAGGGCTTCCCGGATGGCCCAAAGGGCGCAAGCCCCGGGACCTCGGAGAAGCATAGATCTGCCAATCCAGTCTTTACACTGCCAGTGGCTGAGGTCATGGCCCATGCGGCAGAGCAGGGGCTCATGACTTACCCAACTTATTCTCAGAAGGTTTGCAATGTGGAAGACACTAGAAAATGGTGTGCTTACCATCGCAAAAATGATCACAACACAAAAGATTGTTATACTCTGAAGAATGAGATGGCAAGGCTGATCCGCCGGGGACATCTGAAGAAGCTTGTACAAGATGGTGACGCCAGGAATCCCGGGAATGCTCAGAATGGAAAATGCAGAGATAAAGAAGTAGCCCAGGCTGAGGCCCGGGAGAAACGCCACATTGGACTAGAAGACGAAGAGGAGGATTCGGAACCCGCGCCGCATCGCCAGAAGAGACACCACGGGTGTAACTTCATCATTGGAGGGAATACTGGTGGGAACTCGGCCACAAGCCGGAAGAAGTGGGCTAACGCGGCAATGGTCAACAAGGTGCTGGTCCCGGAAGGTAAGAAGTTGAAAGCCGAGCCTATTGTGTTTTCTAATGCTGATCTTCTAGAGACAGGGGTCCCTCATAGGGACGCCCTGGTAATTACTATTGATATAATGGACTTACTGATCCACAAAACTCTTGTGGATACGGGAAGCCCCGTTAATATCATGTATATGGACACATACAAGGCTCTCGGTTGAGATGAGTTATCACCCATCAGGACCCCACTGACCGGGTTTACTGGTGATTCTATTGAACCGGAGGGGGTGATAACCCTCCCGGTTGAGATAGGGGATACTAAGGCTACCCGGAAGCTGGACATGGAGTTTGTCGTGGTGGGGTCAATTTCTAGCACAAATATTATCTTGGGCAGACCCGGATTGGAAGATCTGGAGTGTGTCATCTCACCTCGTCACCTCTGCATAAAATTCCCAACCCCCCACGGAGTTGGAATTGCCAGGGGATCTCAGAGAGTATTTCGGGCATGGTATTTGAAGGCAACCAAACAGCCCATCAAATACGATACCCAAGTGGGAGAGGTCACTGCACAGCTCATGAGGGCTGAGGAAAAACGTCCCAGAGTAGAAGTTGCCGGCGACATCGAAGAAGTGGAATTGGAGCCATGCACGCCGGGAAGGGTTGTCAGGATTGGTAAGGGCCTAGGGGCTGAACTCAAGTCACGAGTGATTTCAGTCCTCAGGAGGTTCAGAAGGGTCTTTGCATGGAGTCCAGCTGATATGCCAGGGCTGGATCACAAGATTGTTGTTCATCGCCTAAATGTTCTGCCGGAGGCCAAACCGGTGTAGTCCTAGCACCCAAGCCACCTTCATGGAGGATGTGCGTCGACTACACAGATCTGAACAAGGCATGCCCCATGGATCCGTTTCCACTCCCCAACATTGATCAGATGGTCGATGAAACTGCCGGGTTGGAGTTAATGAGCTTCATGGACGCTTTCAGCGGATATCACCAGATCCGGATGCATCCGGCCGATGCTGAGAAGACAAGCTTTATGACCCAAGAAGGGTTGTACTGTTACCTAGTGATGGCTTTTGGATTGAGAAATTCCGGGGCCACATATACCCAGATGGTTTCTCAGGTGTTCAAGACTGTCCTAGGGCGGACCATGGAGGCGTATGTCGATGATATGATCGTCAAGTCCAAAGAGGCTCGAGACCATGTCCGGGACCTTGAAGAGGTCTTTGAAATCATGAAGAAGGTAAATCTAAGATTGAACCCGAAGAAATGCACTTTTGCGGTTCAAGGTGGGAAATTCCTTGGGCACATGGTAAGCCGGAAAGGGATTGAGGCAAACCCGGAGAAAGTTAGAGCCATCATGGAGATGGAACCTCTGAAGACAACCAAGGAGGTTCAGCGGCTAACAGGAAGATTGGCGGCCTTAAATCGTTTCCTTTCAAAGCTGGCAGAGAAGGCGCACCCATTCTTTGCGGTGATTAAGAAGAAGGCGACCTTTGAATGGACACCGGAATGTCAAGAAGCATTTGAAGAATTAAAGAGATACTTCACAAGTCCGCCGGTTTTATCCAAGCCGGAACCTGGGGATATTCTGACTCTATATTTGGCGATCGCGGATTGTGCCATAAGTGCTATGATCGTGAGAGAAGAGCGTGGGGCCGAACATTCGGTCTACTACGTCAGCAAGACCCTGAGGGATGCGGAGTTAAGGTATTCCCGACCAGAGAAAGCCATGTTGGCGGTCTTCTAGACGGCGAAGAGATTGACCCCGTACTTTCAGGCTCACCGGATTATTGTCCTCACCAAAGAGCCATTGGCGTCACTTAGCTGGAGCCCGGCGGCATCGGCCCGGATGACCAAGTGGGCGGTCTTTATCAGTCAGTACAACGTGGAATTCAGGCCGCGCCCATCCATCAAGGGGCAAGCACTCGCCGACTTTCAAGTCGAGTGCACCACTAGGGAGATGACAAGAGCCCGGGTTGAAACCCGGATGGAGAAAGACTGGTGGATAATGAGCATCGACGGATCTTCTGGATCTCGATCTTGCGGAGCAGGTATCGTCTTGATCACCCCAGAAAATTTCCGGATTTATTACGCCATGAGATTTCAGTTCCGTGTCTCCGACAATGAAGCTGAGTATGAGTCCCTGATCAATGGTTTGAAGATTCTTAGTAAGATGGGGGTATCCAAGGTTCAAGTCTACAGCGACTCCTGACTGGTGGTGGGACAAATCACAGGGGAGTTTGAAGCAAAGGAAGAGAGGATGAAGAGGTATCGGGACTTGTCTCTAGAGATGTTGGGAAGGTTTGAGTTTAAGCTTGAACATATACCCCAGGCCCAGAACGCAGAGGCCGATGTTCTATCCAAGCTCAGCGCAGAATCACCGGAATACATAAGCAGATTAGCAACTGTTGAAGAGCTGGTAACCCCGAGTCTTAGCAACAATGAGGTGATCTGGGTATCAGCTGATCCCCCGGAATGGTTGGACCGATTGGCCAAATACATTGAGGACGGTGAAGCCCCGGAGAATCCCCAGGAAGCGCGTCTATTACGAATGAGGGCACCAACCTACAAGGTGCAGGACGGAGTCCTCTATAAGAGGTCTTACAACGGTGTCCTACTCCGTTGCCTTAGAGCAACAGAGGCGAAGGCATTGATGGAACAAATACACGAAGGAGTATGTGCCGCACATCAGGGTCCTTATTCCATTTCCAGGAGGGCTATCATCCAGGAATATTTCTGGCCAACGATGAGGAAGGATTGCGAAGAGTATGTACGCAAGTGCCTGACTTGCCAGCATTTCCAGAATATACCCGGGAGACCAGCCACTAACTACACACCCATCAGCTCCGTGATTCCCTTCTCAAGATGGGGGATTGATCTTGTGGGAGCCCTGCCAAAAGGGCCGGGGCAGGCAAGGTGGATTGTGGTGGCGATAGACTATTTCACAAAGTGGGTAGAGGCTGAGCCACTTGCAGGGATCACCGGAAGGCAGATGATCGACTTCGTTGGGACTAATATACTCTGCAGGTTTGGAGTCCCGAAGCAGATCATATCAGATAATGGAACCCAGTTTGAGGAAGCAGAATTTCAAGACTTTCTCAAAACTTGGGGAATTCAGCACACGAAGGTGTCTGTTGCGTACCCTCAGGCTAATGGACAAGTGGAGAACGTCAACAGAACAATCATAGACGGAATAAAGAAGAAGCTACTTTCAGAAGGAAGCAAATGGGTAGATGAACTGCCCAGAATCCTGTGGACATACAGGACGACTCCGAGGAGAGCCACGGGTGACACTCCTTTTGGCTTGGCGTATGGTTTTGAGGCCCGGGCTCCTGCCGAGGTAGTAATCCCCACCAGGAGAGAGATGGAATATGACCCGGAGGTGAATGAACAGAATCAGGCCGTAGAGCTGAATTTCGTAGAAGAACGAAGGGATGAAGCACGTATCCGGGCAGAAAGTTATCGTCGCCAGGTGAAATCTTACTTTGATAGCAGGGTGAAACCAAGGGCATTCCAGGTGGGGGATTATGTTCTGAGGAAACGAGAGAAGAGTCAACCAACTAAAGGTGGGAAGCTGACGAAGAAGTATGAAGGACCTTATATCATCAAGGCCGTAGTTCGCCCAGGTACCTACAAGTTGGTGACTCCCAAGGGGAAAGAAATTGATAGGACATGGAATGTAGAGCACTTGGTCAAATTTTATCAGTGAATCATTTTGTAAAACGCTCTATTTTCTAAATCTAAGATGCTTGTTTCAATAAAACTTTTCTTTTAATGCCAAGTGCCTTTGCAATTTCATTGTTCTAGAGATTTCACTAAAAAAAGGGGGGGGGGGAGCACCCCCGGGCAATATAGACCCGCGTTACAGGGAGGTAGAAAAGTTTATGCCACCTGCTAAAAATAGGGGAGGTAGATAAGTTTATGCCCCCCCGGAGGTAGAGAAGTTTATGCCTCCGTCAAAATTGAAGGAAGGGTTGGGAGTGAACTTCGAGGGCCACTACAACCCGGAATTCAGGAAGAATAGCAAGCAGACTTCGAGGGCTGAAGCTTAGTATTCCACTAGCATAGATCAACCGAGCAAACAAACTTCGAGGGTTGGAGCTCAACTGATCCAAGGTAGATAAGATTATGCCTTAACCCGGAGGAAGGGAAGGCCAGGGGCAGATGTGATAAGTGCCCTAAGTATTCCCAAACCCTGGGAAGATGAGATTTAACATAGAGAATGAATTATGTACTTGCATTTAAATAGGTGCAAAGAAATGCTCATTAAGAACCATATTGATGGGCCAAGGTTCACATTTCTTGGTTCACAGTAAAGGTTCCTAGTGAAATAAACCAGAAAGAAACTAAGGGAGTTATCGATTGTTAATTCGGAGAGTATATCTTTGAACTACAATGATGATTCCTATTTCAAAATTAAGGAACATTCATTAGTTTGGAATGAGGGGAAAACCTCTAGACCGAGCAAGTGAATGCCCCTTGATACAAAACAAGGAAAAGAAATTTGGTTTGCAAGAGGCTAGGAACCGAAGAAGGGCCTATCACATCCAGGCAGTCAACAAGATGGAGGTGGGGGACCCTTCCATGGGCTCCTTCTCTTTGACAAGGGACACGTTGATGAATCAGCTGTTTCCCATATGTCATAATCTTCCCATGTCCCAGGACGAGGGGCTGCTTCCTCCAAAGAAGATCCATTGTTGCGGGGCTTCAGCGGGTTTGGAGAAGCAGTCCGGCTTTCACATGAAGGCTCCGCTTCAATAGTTAGCAAAGAACGTCCAAGCTTAGTCCTGCACATCCTCTAGTACAAGGCGAAGTCCTGGAGGGTCATGGAGTCCCAGTCTATCTCCCTGGAGGGAAGCCTGGGTGGACTGGGAGGAGATGGTGCAGGAAGACGGGTCGCCGGATAAAGCCTCGAGAACTCGCCGGGACTCAACCCGGCCATGTCGTTGGACTGGGCTGGGGAGATGGGGAGGTCACTATCTGAAGAAGAAGAAGACATCCCAGAGAGGGTTAAGTCGATGATGACTTTGCCCTCAGACTTGCTTTCCATGGTGAAGAAGTTAGAAAGTGATGGACGGGCCACTAATTGCCCTTTCCCATTTTATAGTCAGTGGGGAAGGGATAGTTGGGAATTGATGAATGCAATTAAAAGGCGTGAAAGACTAAACGATTGGTGAAAGGAGCGGTCAAAGCTTTCCCAAAGTTTGACTAAGAGTTTCTCGCCACTAAAGTGCATGGGCTAGTTAATTGGGCCCATTCGCGCTTTGAAAAAGACGTTATCCTTGGAAGCTAAGGAGTTAAATAGACTTAGACTTCTACTCCATGCAGATGACGGCACGTGCAACAAAATAGTATTAAATGACAGGAGATAAAGGCTCTTTCCATTAAATAGCTCAAACAGAAGATTACATTCTTTTGGGTTACAGTAATGGGCCTTATCCCTAATCTAACTATGAAATAAAAAAGAGACAGGAGATAAAGATTTTCATTGAATAACTCAAACAGAAAAATTACATTCTTTTGGGTTACAATAATGAACTTTGTCCCTGATCTACTTCCATCCTACTGTGAAAGAAGAATTGAAAGCAAGGCGGATCAACACTTCTAGAATCTAAAGGAGTGAATTCGCTGACCCTTGCTTCCCTGCCTGAACCAGAAAGAGAACCTCAAGGCAGGAAGGCATGGAGAGTGTCCGCCGAAGACACTTCATGAAATTCACAAGAACTAGAATGGTACCAACGGGTTGGGACCTAAAGCCATCCCCGTGGATACCATCCGGTCATTCTTGTGAGGGCGTCCACCGGCCTCCCTTCATGACATTCAAAAGATACGGAGAGGAACCAACTGTTTGGGATTGAAAGACATTCCCCCCGTTGGCACCTTCCGGTCGCCTCTCTGAAGTCAGACCAAGAGGACGAGTGGGCATGAGGGAAGGATCCAAGGCGTGTCTCCACTTATACGGAAGGAGGGGGTGGGTCCCTGAAGGCCCCATCCTTTTCCCTGCGTATAAAGGGAAGCCTGTTTCCCCCCATGTCATAGTCCCCCCATTCCTCAGGTGGCTGTCCATGCAACTGCTGAGGGGAAGGGGAACTCTGAGAAGAAGGCCTCGCACCGGAGACCAGCCGGGAAGCTCCTGAGTGGGGATTGCGTCTCTTCTGTGGACGAGAAGTGCCAGGACAGCCAGAAGAGACTTCAGCCCTGGCACTGTTAGGAAGCACGCTGGGACCCGAAGGGATACTCCCCGAGACCTGTTGGGGGAGATGAGGGTTATTCTCCTCCCTGGGAAAGGGGGAGGTTACCGATTGTTCAGAGGCAAGAGAAGGCCCAGAAGAGAGCTCAGGTATTGGGGACCCAAGTGAAGGGAATGCCAACGAAGAAGAATCAGAAGAAGAATCAGAAATAGTAAGATCAATGAAGACAACTCTATTGGTGTTGTTAGCCATGTTTAGAGATTGATTGTGGTATGGAAAAGGCTTAGCCCAGCCCCTTAAATAGGTGAGTAATCCCAAAGGAGAAGGGTAAAGGACGCGGAGTCAAAGCGCTTATCCGATTGGGAGGCAGTTGCGGATTCCCGAGGAGAGCTAGGGTTCCACTATCTTATCATTGGGCTAAGGTGAGTTGGGCCCGGCATAATTAAAGTGGGCCAGCCGCTTAGCACAATGGTAAATAAGAGGAACAGTGCGTTGTGAACGCGGTTAAGCCCAAAGCCTAGGCGGGTAAAAAAAATCTGCTAAGTCCTAGGGCAAAACAAGAATACCAAAAGGAGAAAAGTCAGATTACTAAAGGAGTCTACATGGACAAAAATACATCGGATGTTATCAATTTACCATAATCCAAATAATTACAAGGCAAAACATAACAGTCGATGGAGGAAGATGAAGTCAAGGTCCGGGGTCTGCACGAGAAGCTGGGCGAGAAAGAGGGAGAGGTAACCCATAGTAGGAGATGAAGTCATCCAAAGTGCGGTTCTCTGGGAGACCACTCTGGACTGCCCCGTAGATGCATTGCTGCATGTCAAATTGTCCCTCTTCGTAGAGGGCTTTGGCACGGGCAATCATGGTGGCCACCTCCTCTTGATGAGCAGCGATCGTCTTCTCTTGTTCATCCACCTTTGCCCGGAGCTCACTTGCGGCCTGCCTCTCTCCCTTCAACTTCTCGAGGTTAAGCCGTCTCGCCTCCATGTGCTTCAGAGCAAGCTCGTTAAGGCGTGAACCCTCATACTTGGCCTCTTGGAGGGAATTCTCTAGCTCAGAGATCCGGGATTCCCTCTCAACCAGCTCAGCTTTCAAACTTCCTACCTGGTCTTTTGAAGCCGAGACCCTTGATTCCAGGAGGGAGATTTGTGCCCGGAATCTACCAAACTGCACTTCCAGATCTTGGGTCTCCTTGTGGTAAATAGCAATCTGATCTTGCAGGGACTGGACCTTGGATCTCTCAGCTGCAAGCTCCGTGGAGCCGTCTGCTTGGAGCCGAGCATTCTCCCCTTGCAGGATCTGAACTTGTTGCTCCAGGGAGTCAACCTTCTGTTGCAAGGCCCTGGCAGCTAGTTCCCTTTCCCTCAGAAGCATTACAGCCCGGAAGTTCCCTGATGCTCCACCCAGGTACTCCTCAGTCAAAGTAAGGAGCGATTGCTGGGCCTAAAAGAAGGAAAGGGAAATCAAGGAAAAGAACTAACCCGGAAAGAGGTAAAGAGATTGTTGAAAAGGAAGGGTACCTGTTCCATGAGGTGCAGGGCATTGAAGGCAAGCAGATCAGGGCGAGCTTAGGGAGTTATGGGTTCCTGCACTAATCCCTGCATCCTTTCTAGATTCCCCTGGATAGTCCAATGGGAAGCTTGCAAGGATCTCAAACCGTGGGAGAAGCCTTCTCAACCCTTTGCGAAAGCAGAATAAGTCTGTGGCGTGAACTTGCGCCAGATGGGGAGATTGACAGCCGTGGGAGCAGTAGCGGGATGTCGTTCTTCCGGCTCTCGCTGCTCCTCCTGAGTCTGTTGCGCCTCAGTCTCTTTCCTCACTTCTGGAGAAGCTTCAGCATCTTTCTGCTCTCCAGCCTCATTTTCCTCCGGGTGGGAGACTTCCGTTTCTAACTGCACTTCAACTTCCCTCCCTGCTGTAGGGGAGGGCTCCGGTTCCTTCTGCCACATCCCTTCTTCCTCCATGGCTTGGGGACTGGTTGTGGCGCGTGGCGAGGAACCGGACACTTCAGTCTGGGGCTGCGTTGTGGGTTTTCTGAGCGCTGACTGGTCCCTAGGCTCTTCTTCCTCACAATCAAGTCTATCCGGGTGGGATAACTCCAAGACCCCGGATGTAGCAGCAGGAGTGGTATTCTGAGTACCAGAAGAGTTGGACAGGGGGCTGGGTGAAACAGAGGTACCTTCACCCTTGTTCTTTTTGGGAAGGAAATCATCGTCGGAGAGACCCTCCCGTGGCCGTTTCTGGGACAGAGTGGGCCTCCTAAGCCCGGGAATGGCAGAGATAGGAACAACATTCAGAGCAGCATCTGGATTGCGCACAACTAAGGTAGTGGAACCACTTTGGGGCCGAACTCCAAAAGAGCTTGCGATCTCTCGGGGGAGGGTACCTCCTCAAAGGGAATCGGGTCAGGACCCACGGGGTAATAGAAACCTGCCTTTTTGTACAGTTTAGCCTCTTGGAGAGAGTGGTGGGAAATTAGACCCTCCTTCTCCCTCAAAGCATTATACGCGCCCTCCGCCAAGTTTGCCGCGACGAATTTCGTCCGGGGGATGGAACGGCGGAGGACAACACCCGGCAGATCGATGGGGCTGTGAGCCGGGAATTCAATGACGAAGTATTTAAGCGCCCATTTGTCGATTTTGAGCTCGACCTTCTCGAAAATGGGAAAATGATTGTGGGGGTATAAACTGTAAAAGGGGAAACCACCGATACTGAAGAGGAGAAGAAATTCGTCCAATTTCGGGGTTTTGTCCAGGGCACAGCATCGTAAGATGAAGGACGCGACATACTTGTGCGTGTTGGCAGTCAATTGACCCGGAGCAAATCCAAAATGGAGGCAGAGGTCGCGGAGCAGGCCGTGGAGGGGCAACCTAAATCCATTCTCCACAGAGTGGTACTGCATGACCATATATTTCTGGGGATTTGGGGGTGTAGGTTAAACTAATCCCCCCAACGGCATCGGGATGGTGGACCCGGAAGCCCTTGCCCAAAAGCACGGCCATCTCCCGAAGTTCGTTCTCTTTGATAACGGAGGGTCCATGGGTCCAGGTTTCAGGATTCGTAGGGGCCATTCCGGAGAAGGAGACGAGAATTTTGGGGAAATTGCAGTCGGAATTCGGGTCGGGTTAAGATTCAGTGGCGAGAGGAAGAAGATGAGTCCAGAAGGGGTATTTATCCGTTGAAAGGTGGACCCGAGGTACTCGAGTGCGACGTTTCTAATCCGACACGAAGATCAAAGGCGGCTCATCATTAGTTTCCTAGCGACACGTCGCCAGAAAACTAGGGGGCTTGTGATGGATATCCGGTCTGGTAGACCCGACTTCAGGCCCAAATGAAGGCCCATAATGGCCCAAAAGGAATAAGATCAGATGGGATGACGGGCCAAGCCCGTTATCTCGTATTTGGCAAGTGGAAGGAGACGGCCCAAACATGAGGTAGATCAAAGCGACCCAGTCCAAAGGAGGAATGGGACACGTGGCCCACATCGTCGAGTTATGGGCGAAATGGGAAGAGAACGAGACCGGAAAGAAGGGGAATCACAACCCCATGATCTCCATAATCCATTTCCATTTTGTGTAATTTTAATTGGAATATTAGAAGTACTATAAAAAGGGGAAAACCCGCCATTGTAAAGCAAGTCACAAGAAGATAGTGCAATACACAACAAAGAATATTATCGAGTGATTATATCTTCCTAATTCATATTCCGTTCTTGGTCCGCCATCTGATCGGGTTAATCCCATCACATACATACATACATACATATATACATACATACATACATATATATATATATGTGTGTGTGTGTGTGTGTAATACTCAAAATTTCAAATTTTATAATAGAATAAATTCAGGGAAATATTTTAATATAAACTTGAAGGAATACTTTACGGTTGGATAAATTGTACATTAGATACCAAAAAAATGTTAAACAAATAAATAAATAAGTGACGATAAGGACAAATTGAATTTTGTTCCGTAATACCTTTGGAGTTTTGGGAAGTATATAGGTGTGTGTGTATACAATAGTAAAAAGAAAAAAAGGAAGAAAAGAGAAGGGGAATGAAGGCTACGTAGTGGTGAAATTTTCTAAGAAATTTAGCCATGAACACCCTAAGGCTTTTATAAGAAATTTTCTCTAAAACAAAAGCCTAATCATGTGGGATTATTTTTCACTATAGTATGAGAACAAAATTTTATATTTTTGAGACAGTCACCTCGACGGGTGTTCCAAGATTACCTGATCAGTTACCTTGAGCACAAAAGAGGGGCTTCCTCGAAGGATAGAAATAATGAGAAAGGAATATAATGGAAACAAAAGAATAGTAGACATGTGTTTACACTGTCATAAACAAATTACTGGGATATCGTATTTCTCTCCTCACCAGTACACGATGTGGCATTGTACTGACCACTCCTCTTAACTATTTTAGGTGCGTAGCCGCCTTCGTGCCGGAATTCCCTCGTGAATCGGTAGCCGTATTTGCAAGCAAGTCCTCAGTGTGGTTTGTGGAAATGACTCCTTTGAAGTTTTGTTATGCTCATGTTGTTATTTAAAACTATTCCAATCATGTTGTTTCCTTAAATTGCCCTTCGTGGCTGGCATGTTGTTATTCCGCTTAAACTCTGATTTTATCTTAATAAATAAAGTGATTATGTTTAGCTTGATGTGATAGATGTATACTGTTAGCCGTGTATGATTCATAGATTCCTTTCGATAAAGGGACTTATGAATCGTACGGAGGTTGTCCACGTCACCGGGCGATCCGGGGCGTGACAATTGAAGTGGTATCAGAGGATCAAGTTCTAGAAATCTCTTTCGAAGCCCTCACTACAATTTCTTTGATCCTTCAAAACATGAGCATAAGTTCCTTCTTAGTGACTATGAGTTTGGGTAGGTTAAGTCATAGAACTCTAGTTGTTAAGAAGATCCCTTAGTCAAGCGCGTGGTGGGGGAAGGGCTCCACGATCGAGGGGTTCGAACGACGTTTGCGTTGAGACTCTACGAGAATATGAAGGGGAGCACACCCCTCAACAAGAGCAACAACCTCAAGTTGCACCTCTGAATATCCATGTACCTACACCGGAGATGTGGACAACATTTTTAGAATGGTACTAGAACCGACCTCAGGGTCAGCCCGTGGGCAATCCACCACTGGAACAGATAGCCCAACAGATACCAGTAGCACAACAACAACCCCCACATCAACCTCATGTGATGCCAGTGGAACAACCGATTCCCCAAGAGCAACAACCGGGGTTGTAGAATCCTCCCGCTCAGGCTGTAGGCTCTGTCATAGTAAATCAACCAAAGAAAAATGAGGTGGCACACCACCCTCAATTTTTTAGCATAGCTCGATACTTAAAAGAGGCTAGAGCACTGGGGTGCAGGACATTTGACGGGGTCGGAGATATCTCGAAGGCTCGGGATTGGATAAAGAGAGTAAAAGAGGTGGGGAAGAGCTTACGCTTGACCCCAGAAGTAAAAAGAGAAGTGGCAACCTATCTCATAGAAGATTTTGCAGAGTTATGGTGGGATGGGATTCGAATCCGTTACCTAAGGTGAGGTTACATGGGAACAATTTGAAATGGAATTCTACGATAAGTTTTACCCTGCCACAGAGGTGCAGAAAAAGCGAAAGGAGTATAATGATATCATACAGGGAAGATTGTCTGTGGCAGATTGTGTGTGTGAAAAGGCAACGAGGAAAATGGAAAAAAGAAGCGCATTTAAGTATAGAAATATTGTTACTCCCTCCGTCCCTCTAAGATGTTCTCATTTTGAATTTTGGTGGTTTTTAAGGATAGTTGAAAAAAGGTAAAAGTTTACCATAATACCCTTAATGAAAAATTGGTCGAGTATATTAAATGAGGTGGGTGAGGTGTAATAAATAAAGTAAGTGGGGGTAGTTGTGATATTTTAATTTTTAAAAAATGAAATGAGAAGATCTATTGTGGACAAAGAAAAAGGGCTATTGAGAAGATCTATGGAGGACGGAGGGAGTATTAAAAAAGGTTGAAAGTTCTACAACTATCTATTATGGATAACTTCCTTCTTAATTGAGTAGTAGGAAGCCCACTTCTCAGGATTTATGGGGACATCTAGGTTCGAGTCCCAATGAAGGTGAAGTCATTGAATCTTTGTGCATCCTTAATTGAGAAAAATATGAATACATACTACATTATAATCGAGTAAATAGCACTAAAAAACTATAGTACTATGAAAACAGTAAAACACAGACTTTTAAAACAAGATAAAGATTAAAAGATCACTGCAATGCATAATAATAAAATATGGTTTCCATATATGAGATTTGTATATGAAAATGGCCTTTTTGTTGTGCCTTTTTATTATCTTCGAACAATAGGTGTTGTAAATCTCCCATTTTGGTGTGCTTTTATGTTCCAACTACACACCCTTAAATCTCTCCATAAGGCCACAAAGAGGTACCTAAAAAAGAGTAGAGTATATCAAAAGAGCAGACTAGGGGTGAATGTGCAGTGGTACGGTATTTGGTTTGTACCGATACCAAGCCAGATATTGTAGTTTCGTATGCTATTTTATATCGGAAATGCTATATGCACACCACCAAACAAACCCCACTTTAACCCCATATATATATCCCTCTTTTTTCTTTTTTAATTTTTTAATAATTGACCACTTTCTCTCTCTTCTTCCACAATCGCAGTCCTTCCATCTTCCTCTCACCATCTTCTTCATCCCTCCTTCCCCTTCGTCATCTTTTTATTTTTTTTCTTTAATTTTATTTTCAAATTTCATGCTCCAATTTTAAATGTTTTTCACTTCAATTATTAACTGCGATTGTGTCTCCTTTCATCCCTCCGACCATCTTCGATCATTCCTCTTTGCCACAATCGATTGTCCCCTCTTCGCCACAATCAATCGTCCTAATTTCGCCGCCATAGATCGTCCCTGTTCACTAGTGGGTTGCTCAATCAAGGTATTTTTTTTACTTTCCTTACATTTTTATAATTTAGGGTTTATTTTTTAATTATGTTTTTTACTTTTTCTTAATAGTTGAGAAAAATAAAAATTGTGTATTAATGTCTGTGAATTTGCCTGGAAGGATAATTGTCTCACTACAAGAATCTGTCATTTCTGCGACAAGAAAATTCCATCGAATATATTTTGAAGTTTTGTTTTAACGAAACATCATAGGTGTCCACGCCCTCGCTCCAAAGACTCTTCAGCTCTGCGATTAGTGGCTGCAAGTACACGCCAATCGTTTGTTTTGGGTTAGACCTCCCAGGCACAATTAATGACAAGAATATGTGTTCTTCTTTCATGCACATATCAGGCGGAAGATTGTACGGAGTAATCATTACAGGCCAACATGAATATTGTGACCCAGACTGACCAAACGGTTGGAACCCATCTGTGCAAAGTCCAAGGTGCACGTTGCGTACCTCCGACGCAAAGGTAGAATGTTCAGCATCAAACTTTTTCCATGCTTCAGAATCGCAAGGGTGACACATTTCATCCTCGTTTGTGTGTCGATGATCGGCATGCCACCTCATTGCACTTGCTGTACGTTTAGACATATATAGGCGTTTCAACCTAGGTGTTAGCGGAAAGTAAAACATCTGCCTATTCGGAATCTTAGACTTCTCGTCTTTATACCGCGGCTTGTTGCAAACCTTGCACTGTGTGAGACTTTCGTCATCTCCCCAATATAACATGCACCCAAGAATGCAACAATGAATCTTTTGGACGGGGAGACCAAGATCTTCAATTAGCTTTTTTGTTTGATAAAATCCATTCACCATTGTGTTGTCTTCAGGTAGAGCGTCTTGGAGGAATTGGCAGAAGGTGTCATAACATTGCTCAGATAAGTTATGTTCAGACTTGATATTTAACAAACGTGTAACTGCAGACAGCTTGGACATCTTATTACATCCTTTCCACAGATCGGTATCAACGGCTTTCAACATTTCAAAAAATTTCTTATCGCTCGGATTTGGCTCTTCCTCAACAATAGAGTTAACCCAAGATGAGCCGACACCATCAAATACCATGTCTGCATATTATTCTCTACCTGTCTGATCAAACACGTTAGTGGAATTGGCAGGACGAGCAACTTTACATCGTTGGTGGGGAACCCAATCGCCGTGATTCTCACCGTGATATACCCAATCGTGGTAATTTGGTGTGAATCCAAACCGGAGTATGTGCTCTAGCATCCTTGCTGATGATCTAAACGTAATATTCTTACACTTCGTGCATGGGCAACGCATTTTCTTATTCAGCATCTTATACACATTCGGAATTGACACACAATACTTTACGAACCCTTCAACATTATCTTTCCATAATTCACTAACAACACCTTCTCTCTCGTACTTGTTATACATCAAGTCACGATCTTCGAATGGAAGACTCATATTAACAATGCCTATCAATTGAAAGTCATCAAGCAAGAAACTTTAACCATACTAAATAAACATGAGATAGCCCATCAACTAAGTAAATATAAAAAAATCCTTGCTAATAATTGAAAGACAATAACCAACAATCTCTAATCATGAATATCAACCACAATATTTTACAAAAAAAATAATATCAAAAATAAAGTCCAACAAATAACAATGTCTAACCACAAATATTAATCATGTAAATCTAAATACCATAGTAATTTCACACAATTTCAACTCAAATTCCCCTAAAAAGCTCTTAATTTCACAACAAAAAATTATTTTTACCTAATTTCATGCCAATTTCAACCATTATAAAAGCAAATTCATATAATTTTAATTCAATTTAACCTAAGATCTTATCAATTTCACAAAAATATCAATTTCATCCAAAAAATGGTAAACAAATTAAAAAACCTTGGTGGAGGAGGAAGAAGAGGACGGCGGATGGTAGGGGAGGAGGAGGAGAAGGCCGGCGAAGAGAGGCTGACGAAGGATGGCGGCTGACGAACGACGGTGCTGGCGGACGAGGGGTGGAGGACGAAAACGCAGGCGGACGACGGCGGAGAAGCGCTGGAGGAGGAGGCCGACCTTGGGAGGAGGAGGCCGGAGCAGATAACCGGCGGTTAATGAGGTGGAGATGCGGCGGCGTGAGCTTCGGCGATGAAGGGCGGCGTGGGTTCCGGCGTAAGAAAGGGTTTGTGTTGTTTGGTTGTCCCGTAAATGGAGAAGGATAAGACTTTTTTAACTGAAGCCTGCGACGGAAAGCTATATGTCGCTGCGTACCGTCGCAAATCTGCAACGGAGAAAAAGATTTTGTCGCTGATTTTGTTGGCGGCAGAAACTCTTAGTTTAGCGCCAAAACTCTGCGACAGGTTGCTTTTTCCCGTCGCTAATCTGCGACGGATTTTGGTTTCCGTCGCAGATATTTTCTACGTTACCAAATTGACCTGCACCCGTCGCAGATTTCTCGTAGATCTGTGACAACAATTGTTCTATAGCAGATTTTCGTTGCAGTTTTGGCAATTTCTTGTAGTGGATCTCCATTTAATATTTGTGAATTTTTTATTAGTATGTGAAATTTTTTATTTGTAGTATGTGATTTTTTGTTTGTTGTCTTCACTTTCTCCAATTGCTCGTTTTTGTTAATATGTGAAATTTTTTATCTGTAGTTTCATCCTTGTTTATGATGAGTTGTACTTCATTCCTTGACTTATAGAGAAATGACAGAGTAAAGGAAAATATAAATGTCATCATCTTAAGTGCGTATATATGTGTATAACCTCATGTTTGTTTGACTTGGTAGATCATCGCCCATTGACGGGATTATGGATAATATGCAACTCAATATGCATGATGAGGTTATGATGAGCGGGACTTCGTTCCTCGACTTATTGAGGGATGATGAAGTAGAAGAAAATCCAAATGACGAGTTTCGTCAAAATATTAATGATGTCATCACCTCTGGTATATTTATTTGTGTATAAAAATATTGTGTGGTCCATGGTCTATTGACGGGAATAGGGATGATGTGCAGCCTAATATGCATGATGAGTGCCATGAAGATACAAATGATGTTCATAGTCCTCAACCCATATGTGTGGAGCCTAGGGTGGGCATGCATTTTTGTTCTTATGATGAGCTTTACAACTTCTACCTCAAATATTCACAACAACTAGGGTTTCCAGTCAGGAAAAGAAGTTCAAGAAAAGATACAGATGGAATAGTACGTAGTGTTACCATAGTATGTGGCAGAGAAGGTAATATGGCAAGTCGCAGTCAAAACACTTTGAAGCCACAACCACTTATACAATGTGGTTGTGAAGCACGCTTAACTGCAACGTGTAGCCCCAGTGGAGAAGTAACGATTTCAGTGGTTAAGTTGGATCATAACCACGCTCTTAGTCCTTCCAAAGCTCGACTTTGGCGGTGCAATCGAAAATTACCTGAGCACATTAAAAGAAGACTTGAAGTAAATGATGCAGCAGGCATTCCCCTTCACAAAATCTTTAATTCTGCAGTAGTTGAAGCGGGAAGCTGTGATCAACTCCCTTTTAATGAGAAGGATTGTAGAAATTATGTGGAGCAAGTTCGTCGGTGTAAAATAATAAAAATATTTCTATTTCTCAATGCCTTTGGTATGTGTATACAAGAGTATTTATACATGTGTAAAGGTTAGACCAAGAGTCTAGGTTAGGCCAAGAGTTTCTTTAGAGAATTCTAGAGTAAATAATAATTAATATATACATATAATTAAATATAATAATTATTATATTTAACATGCTCCCAGCTATCTAGGTGGTACTGAGCAGACTCCAAGATTGTCTCTAAAATCAAGAAATAGCAGAGATGGTAATCCCTTTGTGAAAATGTCTGCGTACTGTGAGGATGATGGAACATGTAGAACTCGAACCTGACCCAAGGCGACCTTGTCTCGGACAAAGTGGATGTCTACCTCCACATGTTTGGTTCTCTGATGCTGAACAGGGTTAGAGGAAAGATAAACTGCACTCACATTATCACAGAAGACTAAGGTGGCACGATGTAATGGTTGGTGAAGTTCCAGCAACAAATTTCTTATCCAACTAGTCTCAGCTACAGCGTTTGCCACTGCCTGAAACTAGATTATCACCCAAGAATACACAGTAGCCAGATGTAGAGCGGCGAGTGTCTGGACATCCAGCCCAGTCTGCGTCTGTCGAAGAACGGGTAAGTGTGATGCCAAATGTGCTTTGGATCCGCTTCATGGCTGTTAGATGGGGAACCCGAGGGTCATGAAGATGAAGACAGAGTTGTTGGACGGCATAAGTGATGTCTGGTTGAGTAAAAGTAAGATACTGAAGAGCACCAACAATTGAGCGATATAGGCCGGGTCCTCCACTGGAGGGCCGCTGGCCGCCCCTAGCTTACCTTTCGTGTCAACAGGTGTGGATATGGGTTTGCATGTTTGCATCCCAGAACGCTCTAGGATCTCATGTGTGAATTGAGTTTGATGGAGAAAAAGACCATGTTTTGTCCGCTGAACATTTATGCCAAGAAAAAAAATGAATATCCCCCATGTCTGTCATGGCAAATTCCCCCTTGAGTTGCTGTGTGATGCGATGAAGTAGCAAGGTAGAGGAAGCTGTGAGAACAATGTCATCGACATAAAGAAGAAGATAAGATATGTCCCTCTCACGAGTGTAGATAAATAGTGAGGTGTCAATTTTACACCCTCAGAAACTGAGCGATTGAATGAAGGTGGCAAACCGATGATACCATGACCTGGGTGCTTGCTTTAATCCATAAAGTGCTTTCTTGAGTTTGCACACATAATGCGGTCGAGAGGGATCCTGAAACCCAGATGGCTGAGTGGCATAGACTGTTTCCTCTAAGTTTCCATGAAGGAAAGCGTTCTTGACATCAAACTGATGAATTGGCCATCCGCGGGACAATGCCAAGCTGAGCACTATACGAATAGTCGAAGGTTTTACCACCCGGCTAAAAGTCTCTGCATAGTCAACACCGTAACGTTGATTGAAGCCGCGGACCACCCACCGAGCCTTGTACCTGGATAGATCACCTGTGGGACCAAATTTGTGACGAAAAAGCCATTTTCCGGTGATGACATTTTGATTAGGGGAAGGAGGTACTAGTTCCCATGTATTATTTTTAATTAAAGCATTATATTCATCACACATAGCATCATACCAGTTAGGATCTTTTAGTGCACTGCGATAAGTGGGGGTAGGGGGGAAATGGGGTTAGTGGCGGTTGTATTGAGATTGAGAATGGTTTTTGGACGGGTGATGCCTGCTTTGGAGCGTGTAACCATGTGGTGGGTGTTGAGAGAGGGATGTGGTTGTTGGGTTGTGGACAATGAGCTTGGATTAGATTCAGTGTGGATGCCCGAAGAGGGGGATGGGGTTTGGATTGTGAGTGAGGGGGAGGGTTGGGTGTGTTCCGAGGGAACGGACGCAAGAGGGGAAGAGGTGAGGTTTTGACGGTGATAGAGTGAGTCGTCATCCTCCATGGAGTCAAGGAAAACAAAATTATCTGGAGAAGGTGAGTGATTATAGGGGAACGTGGATTCATCGAATATGACATGTCGTGAAATGATAATTTTGTTAGTTAGAAGGTCAAGACACCAGTAGCCGCGTTGATTAGATGGGTAGCCAAGGAAAGTGCACCGGGCCGAGCGTGGGGAAAGTTTATGGGGTGCTGTGGCGGTTAGGTTTGGGTAGCATAAGCAGCCAAAAACTCGAAGATGAGAATATGTGGGAGTTTTGAGATATAAAAGTTCATGAGGGGTACGATTTTGAAGTGTGGTGGTAGGTAGTATGTTAAAGAGGTGTGTGGCCATATGTAGGGCTTCTACCCAAAAGTTGGGAGGAAGGTTTGCTTGAAACAGTAGAGTCCGAACGGTATTGTTGATGGTGCGAATGGTGCGCTCGGCTCAGCCATTTTGCTGACTAATGTGAGGACAAGAGACACGGAACACTATTCCCAAAGAGTCAAAAATTGACGCAAGGGGAGAATTTCGATATTCCGTTCCATTGTCACATTGCACGGCTTTAATAGTAGAATTAAATTGATTTTTAACAAAAGCTACAAATTTGGTTAAGTGTGAGTAAGCAGCAGATTTGTGTCGTAGAGGAAAGACCCATAAATAATGAGAGTAGTCATCCAAGAGTAACATGTAAAATTTTAAACTTGTAATACTGGGAATAGAGGATTGCCATAAATCAGTGTGAAGTAATTCAAAAGGGAAAGTAGAATTACGGGTGGATAAAGTAAAGGGAAGACGAACATGTTTCCCTAATTGACATGCATGACATAAACTAAACTTTCGACATTTATTTGAAAAAGATAATAAAGGACTTGAGACCCCATGGAGAACAGCAGAGCTAGGGTGACCAAGTCGGCGATGCCATGTATCAAGATCAACAGTGGCAGCGTTAGGTTGGGCATCCGGTGGGTTGAAGGTGTATAGTGGGCCGTCATTACTGGACCGATGTATCACGGTTCCCGTCCGAAGGTCCTTCACAGAAAAGCCATGGGGGTCAAATTCAATGGAACAATTATTATCACGGGTAAATTGACGAACAGAAATAAGATTATGAATAATATGAGGGGAGATAAGAACATTATTTAGGGAGAGGGGGGAGAGGTATTAAAAAAATGTTTACCGATCGCAGTGGTGTGCACTTTAGAACCATTACTGACAGTGATGTAAGATGGTGAATAAATACTTGAATTAAAAACATGGGAGATAGTACTTGGGTCGGAAGCGATGTGGTGCGAGGCTCCCGTGTCCAGGTACCAAGTGGGTTCACGAAGGGTCATGGTGTCGAAAGTATGTGCTAGGGCCGTGGGTGATGGGGTGGCAGGTGGGGGATAGTACGGGTAGGGGGAGGGGGTGTGTGGGTAAGGGTGAGCAAAATGGGCTTGGGCATAAAATGGAGAGGGAAAATTAGTAGGAGGGTTATTGGGCTGTGGGCCCAAAATACCAGGCCCATAGTAAAATTGCCCACCAGGTGAAAAGGACGGAGAAGGGAAACTACCCAGCTGCTGATTTCGCCCGTTTCTTCCTCGCCCAGTTCTGCCTCTTTCGCTACCCTACTGCCGACCTCCGCCGAAGCGTGCACCGCCGCCGCCGCCCTGCTGTCTCTGCTGCCGGTATTGCGATGCAGAGGGACCACCGACGCCTTGTTGTTGAGTTCCGTAAGAACCGCCCCCGCCCTGCTGTTGAGATCCGTAGAAGTCGCCGCCGCTAGGGACTGACAGAGGCTGCGACATGTTCGTCCTCCCAGCGGCCAGTAGAGCCGTGCCAGGGTCTCCGGCGGTCGAGGAGCTGCGCTGCTGGTCCAAGAGAAGCAAGGCTGATCGGGCCTCCAAAAACGACGGGGGAGGCTTCTGAAATTGCAGAAAAGACGCCCGATTTTGGAGTCTTCGGGAAGACCGCGGAGTAGTTGGAGGACGAGTTGATTGTCGGTCACGGGTGCATCAATGTCGTCTAAACAATCGGCCAGATTCTTGAGCGTTTGACAATAATCAACCATAGATTTTGTGCCTTTGACGGTAGTGCAAAATTGGTGCTCAAGTTGCATCGCTCTTGCGTTCTTGTTGTCGTGAAAGAGATCGTGAATTGCTTTCCATAAGCCGACGGTGGTGTCATGAGAGGCAATAATGAGATCGGACACTTCATCGGTGACCGTCGAAAGGATCCACCCTTGAAGAAGGGCATCAAATTGGACCCATTCCGTGTCATTGTCACCGGAGGGTTTTGTGTCGCTGGTAAGAAAACCTTGGAGGTTGAAACGCCGCACGAGAAGAAGAAAAAGACGGCTCCATTTTTTGTAATTGGGGGCCGAGATGCTAAGTTGAATGGAGATATGAAGCTTGACGTTTGAAATGGTTGTAAGGGCAAGATGAGGAGAATTTGAAGTTGTGGAGGTAGAAGTAGTAGTAGAGGAGTTGTCGGAAGCCATGTCAAGAGAGGAACGAACTACCAAAGAAGATAAACGGCGTTGGTAGAACGGGGGAGGGAGACAGCCGACAGCCGAACCAAGAGGAAGAGTTAGAGTTCGGGTTTTGGCTCTGATACCATGTAAAAATAATAAAAATATTTCTATTTCTCAATGCTTTTAGTATGTGTATACAAGAGTATTTATACATGTGTAAAGGTTAGGCCAAGAGTCTAGGTTAGGCCAAGAGTTTCTCTAGAGAATTCTAGAGTAAATAATAATTAATATATACATATAATTAAATGTAATAACTATTATATTTAACAGTCGGTCTAAGATCAGTGCGGGGATGCGATGGCAATTCAAGGACTTTTTAACAAAATGCAAGTGAAAAGTGATGGGTTCTTCTACAACATTGATCTTGATTAGACCTGTGCAAATAAGGGCTGGCCCGTCCGGCCCGCCCAGCCCGCCCGTCAAAAAAGATGGATATGGGCATGCTTTAATACTCATATGGGCAGGCCGGCCCGAGCCCGAATTATATCTGGGCGGATATGGAACCTACATTTAGCCCGTCCGAGCCAGCAGGCCCGCCCATATTTTTCAATTACATTTATTGTATGAATTACCTAGTCCATTTACAATGACAAGTTCTCACTCATCCCTCTCTACAAAAATAGCCCAAATTATTTAACCATAAAATCATAAATGAATAAGTAATAAAGGAAATAAAAGACGTGGAGTTGTGAGTTGCTGGAAGCGGCAATTAGCTTCTAGAAGGAAAGTTTGTATGCATTGTGTTACTACTTAAGCTTGATGATGCCGTTTTCTCAATTTAAAAATATGTAATGCTGCTGGCCTCAAGAGACTCCATTGCCACTTCCATCAACTTTCATTAATTAAGTCCAAAGAGCTATTTTGTTGCTTGCCTTGATATGAACAAACAAAAAACTTAAATTTGTCTTATATTTATTTTTAGTATTGAACATAGACTTTGTTTCTTTAGTTTACAGTGCGGTGGGTTTATCTACTCTTGGTGACTTTATCTTAAACATTGATTTCTTTTTTCAATATTCTTTTTATGTTTTTTCCGAGCCGGGCGGCCCAGTGGATAGTTCGGCCCGCTAAAGTGGGCGGGTATGGGTAAAGAGTTACGCCCATTAGATCCGGGCCGAGTCAGGCCCGCCCATGTAAATGGGCTAATAATTTGTATTAAGCCCGGCCCAGATCCGGCCCGGATCCTTGTTTGCACAAGTCTAATCTTGATGAGGAGTCAAGATTGCGAAATTTATTTTGGGCTGATAAACGAACTCGCGGTGCATATAAGTACTTCGGCGATGTTGTCACTTTTGATACAACTTACTTGACAAACAAGTACGACTTGCCCTTTGCCCCATTTGTTGGTGTCAACCACCATTTATAGTCTGTTCTCCTCGGGTGTGGTTTAGTAGGATAGGAAGACTCAACGTCTTTTGTATGGCATTTCAAGACATGGTTGGAATGTATGGGGGGGTATTTCGCCCCGTGGAATAATTACTGACCAATGCCAAGCTATGCAAAAGGAATTGCTAATGTATTTCCAAGCACCAAACACCGTTGGTGCTTGTGGCATATTATGAAGAAAGCACCTGAGAAGTTTTCAGGATCCCTAGCTAAAGATATGATACTTTCTAAGTTGAATGCTCTTGTTTACGATACCTATGACATTGCCGAGTTTGAGTTGGGTTGGCGAGACATGATTAAATGTTGTGGAGTGCAAAATAATGAGTGGCTAAAAGGTTTGTATATGGAGAGACATCGATGGATTCCTTGTTTTTTGAAAACCTCTTTCTGGGCAGGTATTTCTAATGTAATTACATAATGGAAATTTTTCATAAATATTTTATCTACTATAAATTGTGTATGCTTTATTAACATAATACTTTGTCACAGGTATGTCAACAACACAAAGGAGTGAAAGCATGAACTCCTTTTTTGATGGATATGTTCATTCAAAGACATCTTTGTCGCAATTTGTGGAACAATATGAGCGAGCTTTGCGAAAAAGGTCATTTATGGGCACACCCATAAGAACATAATGATGGTTAGTTGAAACCTACGTATGGTATATCGTCATTTACACAAACAATAATATAGTTCAAAGACACCACATTCTACAGAACAGCTAGTAAAGAAACTATACCTTACAACTCCTACAAGGAGTAGGTTCAAAGGCATAAAACCTACCTATTCTTGCAGTTTTCAACTACAGAGTTATTGTCAAGCACGTGAATTAATTTTCATTCATGTGGGAGATTTTTAGAATTTTGGCTTGTAACGGTACAATTCAAATATAAATTTTTGGGGTCCATAAAATTAATTTTCAAAAATATTTATGTATAATTAATCTCTCAAGTGAGACAAGTGTTTCAATATATTGTGTGCCAAGAATGATGCTCGGTGGAATGAGAAATTAATTCATAAAGTCGAATAGTTGGAAGGAGTAAAACCCATGTATCCCAAATTAGACTTGAGACCTTTCACACCCCACCATGTATATGCTAGCTTTGAAGTGCACGGTAAGGTCATTTGCGGCAAAAAGAAAGGATCCCTCGCGTACCACCGCCGACGCCTTTCGTCCGAATCGGCAAGATAGTCAACATGCACGCGATGCGTTGTTACGAGTCAAGGGCGTATGCCAACTCTTATTCTTTTACGAGACTGAATCGAACAGGTGTGGACACTTCGTTAATTACAAAGTGTTAAAGAAGCATGCAAGCACAAGTGAAGAGTCTCTTGTGACTCTTCGGGATGTTCGGCCGGTCCAACCAAAGAGCCAACTCGTTTCCTTTATAAAAAGGTTTCCCTGCTGAGAAATATACTCACTCGAATACAAGCTCATTCTCATCCGCCATTGTCACTGCCTAGGTGAGTACCTTCTCTAGCTGACATCCCAAATTTATTGCAGTATCAAAATTCAAGAAATTGTGAGTGCTTCCATAATCAACCAATATATGGATGGTCCTCTTTCCAACCATTCCCATTATCCTCATTGTCTGGTAGATGTGTCCTCCAGTAAGAGCTTGTACAGATATACAAGCATCAGAACTTTCTCCCCTCTATTGATCCTCCAAATATTCAGCTATGCACTCCTCCTGTTCACTGTGATGAGCTCCCTCAGCAAGGATTTCAACTGTAAACAATTGTTGCTCCTTAAAACTGCACTGATGCCACTTGTGAAAAGGCTGATCACAGTAGTAGCACAATCCCTTGGCTATTTTCTTAGCCCGCACACCAGCAAGTATGTATTTAAAGTTCTTGTTAGGGCCAGAATGGGTGGAAGGTACGTACATATTTTGGAAAACTAACAGGTTTTATTTGGGGAGTAGGCAAGAGAGTAGGTTTTGATGAGTTGTTTGTGAAGACCTTGGAGTTATCCCCGGAAGGTTTGTTGTTGTAAGAGTGGCTGAATTTAGGGAACCTTGACCCCTCCACTTCCAATGATTCCTCCTTTAACCTAGCATATTCAATTGCTTGGGCTATACGACTAGGCTTAAATGCTTTAACAAACAGTTTAACAGAAGGCTTCAACCCACCAATAAAAGAATCAAGAACGAAAGAATCAGGTAATGGTTGTTCTGGCTCAACACAGACCTCGGATCCTCAAAATCATCAATGTAAGCTCCAAGTGATCCTTTCTGTTCTAGCCTTTTAAATTGTTCTACCACATTATTCCCTGTTTCATCCCTAAATCTGGCACTCAGATCATTGATGAATTCATGCCAAGCAACATATTTTCTGAAAGACATGTAGCTAGTAACCCAATTTTCAACCCTAACCACCATATGTAAACTAGCAATGTCCACCCATTGTTCATCAGAAATTTTACAAAGGGCGAAGTCCTTACATGCTTTCTTAATCCAAATTCGCGTGTTGCTGCCATCAAATTTAGGGAACACTAGTTTCGGATTGAAACTCAGTGCTCATGAGGTGTTAGGCTCCTTCTTGCCTCCATCACCTCCGCTGGTAGAGGTGTTAGGCTTCTTCTCCTGACCTACCTTAGCCTCCAAATTCTTCAAGAGTATCACTATCTGGTTCATCAATTCATCTATTTTGCGTTCATGGGATTTGAATCTGTCATCGACACCAGCAAATCTTCCTTCAATAACCTTCAACTGAGCTTCCAAGGTCGTCGATCAATGATACAATTCCAGAAGACGTCAGATTTGAAGCTATCCCTGGTCGCTGCTCTGATACCACTGATATAGCAAGTTGAACTTGCTATGAATGTATGAGAAGATTGGGGAAAAAAGAAAGATATTTTGGGGACAAAGATCCAAGATGGATATTTAGAGAGAAGAAGAAGATTGTTTTCATCATTATTGTGTTTTTACAGCATAGACCTACGTATTTATACAACTCAAAATGCTTTGCCACATCAGCTAACCAATTAACAACTTGTAAGAAACCCTGTAACCACTATTAACAAACTCACAACTACTAACAATCCTTATGAGCTTGATCCTCACATAAAACTATATTTTGAAAGTTATCAAGATATATTAAGGTTTAGAGATAACTTTTTGGATGATTTTTAACGATACAAATTAATTTGAAAACTAAAAAATTAAATAATACCATTAAATAGTTTTTTCAGAGTTTCAAAACTAAAAGCTGAAGCTATTACCAAATATTAAAGTTATTTTTGATCTAGCCTGATCTGATCCAATCTGATTCTAATTACTAATAAAGAATAAGTGATTTTAATTACAATGGAGGACTCAAAATCCAGCGCCGGAATAGAAGTCGCGGCGTTGTGCCAGACGTGAAACGCGGCCAAAACGGCCCGCCGGCCATTCACTGCAGCCTTCCGCCACGCTGGATCAAATTCATTGTGCCGGCCGTCAATTGCAACGCCTCAACGCCGCGGAGGCGCGACGATTTTAGGTCTCCATTGCAAATGCCCTTAGTATGTAGTTTAAGAGTCTTATTTAGGGCGGGGGACAAAAAAAGCACTTGAAGATCATTTCACCATTAAGCAAATCACATCTTAAATGTGAACCTATCAAAATGCTATAAACACACCAACTATGACACGCGCAAATATGACACCACTATGTTTCACGGACAGTTTTGCACAATAAGTTATTGTTTGTACGTGTCTACGAGACACAATGGTGTCATATCTGGTGTCATAATTGGTATGCCTATATAACATGACTCAAATTCCAATGTCTACCGTATCATTTGACACTTTTTACAATGGTCATATGGCTATGTATATGGTACATCATGCAGGGGGTGACCTTTCTTGTTCCTTTCAATGATCCTATGAGCAAGAGAAACTTGCTTCCCAACCACAAAAATGAATGCCTTTCCTTTCCCTACGGCACCTCTAGCTGTTCTCCCAACACGGCGCACATATTCACTTGGATCGCGAGGAAAGTCAAAGAGCACTACATGGTCCACACCCGTAAAGTCAATACCTCTAGACGCTCTACAATTTAATTAGAAAACATCAAATTAGTGTGCATGTTTATTTGATATGAAATCTAGCACGTTTTTCAAGACGGCTTTGCAGTCTAGATTTGCTACAATACCTGTCCGTGCAAACCAAGAATAGAGAGGTGTTCTTCGGCTGAGGGCTACAAAATTCTTTCATACAAGCGATCCTTGTTTCTTGATCCAAAGCAGCATGAAAAGGTAGTACTCTAACCGAGGATTCCTTCCTGTCAAAGCGTTTCAGCGCATTTTCAACTTGTCTGCAGCTATCAATCTAGCTCATAGACAAAGCAAAAACAAATTTCAGTCAGCGCATTTTCAACTACAAGTTCCTGATTCCTGGATGTATCCAGAAAGTTACCTTGTTACAGAAAACAATTGTCTTGGGAACTGGGCTTTCCTCTGCTAATTGCAAAAGAGCATTTTTCTTGTTGAGAAATGCTGTTTCTGGGCTTTTTTCTTGTTCATCCCCTCCGCTACAATCTACAAGGATCTACATATCCAATTCAGTTATTAGTTCCAGTTATCATATATCAGCTTAGAACAAACCTTTAAGGTTAGAAATCTGAAGACATTTTTAAAAATTGAGTACGTCTAAATTTTAGTGTTACAGGCAATTATTCAGTTTAGCCACTCTAGACAACTGAGACATACATTCTGCATTTCAATAAAAACTAAATATCTTCATTCTTTTAGACAATGGAGAAGCCAATGTATTGCGTTTAAAATTTTGTTACCACCACCGATCCAGGCTTGGTCCCCTTCCTCGGAATTGGTAGAGCTAATTATTCAAAGATATGTTTCAGGATTCTCAACAGAGGAAGAGGGAGATGCAATTATAATGTTCATTATGCAAACAGATGAAAGTTTCCACCAGAGCCACAGATTCACGATGTTTTGCCTTTGGGGCATGCTGGAATAAAGCAAAATGGCTCATTAAACTGTCGGCGCTTTTCTCAATAGTGAAGTAACAGCTAGTCAATATGATACAGCACAAGGGAGAGCCACACCCTAAAAGCTAGCTGATAAGGTGGGAGAACCCTTGGCTATATAAACCCAACACCAAGTCCCCCATATAACCGGTGTGGGACAATGAAATCAGTCCGTATCATTCGACCCCCCATAAGGCCCAACGTCCTCGTTGGTCACGGCTACGTTGGTCACGGCTACGTTGGTCACGGCCACGTTGGTCACGACTGGTTTCACCAGGCCACCACTCCGTAGGCCACCACTCCGAGTTGGCTCTGATACCACTGTTACAGATACCATTGATACAGCACAAGGGAGAGCCACACCCTAAAAGCTAGCTGATAAGGTGGGAGAACCCTTGGCTATATAAACCCATAACCAAGTCCCCCATATAACCGGTGTGGGACAATGAAATCAGTCCGTATCACAATACAACTTCTAATGCTTATTAGTTTATCATGGGTCATCCAAAAATAGCCGCTCTATGTTTTAAACATAGGAGTCAGGCTGCGTACACCCAACCCTCCCTTACCCTCCAATGGGCGGGAGCCTTTGAGGCTCTGGGGTAATGTTGTTGTTTTATGCAAACAAATGAAAACATACCTCCTCTAAGCCAGTACTGGTCCGATGCATACCAGGACCCGTTATAAGCTCACAATCAGGGAAGTTTTCGATCAACTTGTTGTATATATCAACTGGCAAAGTTGCAGTCACAAATAGAAATTGTGTAGTGACAGGTGAGGAGTTAACCAGACACTCAAGCGCAGTCTCAAATTCTTCATCCTTAAAGAGAATGTCTACCTCATCCAACACGGCGCTAAACAAAATTAAACACTAAACCACATCAATGAGATTTATTTATTTTATTTCTGGTAAAAAGGGATGAACTAGGGGCGGAAGGGATACACTGGAAGTGATATACACCATAAATCAGGGTGTGTCTAGGAACCCTTTAGACCAGATTTCTCGTTCATATGAAAAGAATGTGGGAGGCAAGAGTTATAAGAAATAGAAGAATTACACAGAAAGAAAGACGAGAAGAGAAAGCGAAAATACAAGAGTTTTCAAGAGAAAGAAAGACAAGAGTCATCAATTTTTTCCACTTTATTTATTTATGTTTATGCATTTACTTATATTTTCATTTTCTTGCTACTTTTTTTCATTTTTGCTTTGTTCAAATATAATCCACCTATTCCGTATAAGATAAAATACAAAAAAATAATCCAAATTTTGACAGGTTTTTGGTTTTCCTTTTCTCTTCTTTGCAGCAGAAAATAAATCAACTCCTAATTTGTACCAAAAATCAACTCCTAATATAGTAATACTGGTTTTAGAAATATTATGGCTTCCTATTATCATAAATTTTTAGTTTTAGGTTTATCAATTCTAGTTAAGTTCCGGCCCATTGTTTCTTTCTATATAGGCATGGGTAATAGTGTTTAGGAGTATATTACTCAACTGGTAACATAGCCCATCACTGGACATTTTGATATCTAAAGCTTATGATAGTTTTACGAGAATTAGTGTTTCAAGATTAATATCGATTTGATTTCCACCATATACTATTTAGATAGTAGTGATCATATTGTCTTAGAACTATACATTAATATTATAAGTAGGGGTTAATAATGTTGTTTAACAAGATGTTTTGGTGTATTAGAAAAGATTAAAGGGTTTCTCACATCTACTGGCCAATTCAAGTATTATCAGAATTAACAGAAAATTGTGCTTGCAGATAGCACTTTATTTATTTATATATTTTTGTGCGCTTCCGCTACAAAACCAGCCTGAAAATTGTCAACAAATATCCACTAAAAACCCCCTGGACCTATTCTACTCTCTTATGTCATCATATCATTTCTGTCACTCCTTAAAAAAATCATTTATGTCACCTTTTTGACAAATTGATCACATACTCACATTAGGCTACTTGAAATTATGTTGCGACCAGCACTGCAAAACCACCACTACATGTGTCCGCTCCCTACGATCATTGGTCATAAAATCTCACCCCATTCCCACAACGACAGAAGAAGAATAATAATACCATCACAAACAACCAAAAATGGGAAGGAGAGAAATAAAGGGGGAATACAAGTACACAGAATTCAAGAAATTATAATAAAAGTTCAGGAAGACATACCAATGAAGGTTTGTTAAATGCAAGTGGCCCTCTTTAACTAGAAACATAAATCGCCCAGGTGTAGCTATCAAAACATCTAGCTCGTGCCTAAGATTCTCCAGTTGTGTTCTCTGCCGAAACCCACCGGTAACAACAGCAGACCGAAAAGGAACACCAGATTTTGAAAAAGATCGGCAAACATTCAAAACCTGCAAATTCACATAACCAATTTCTAAAATAAATAAATGATCAGAAACAAATAATCTAATGAACATATATCATCTGATAAATTCCAAAACAAAGTCAAATAAACTAAAAAGTAATATGAAAATCGCAGAGTTATACTCCAAATTCAGAAGCTAAAGGAAAAGAATTCAAAAATAATTTCACAATTCTTTGAATTTTTGTTCCTCCAGTATTCTAAGATTGATTGCATACCAGACACACACGTTGGTGATTTTGGTATCATCAGTCATTTTCAATAATTGGATTTAGTGAAGACAAGACAAGAATTTTAATAAAAGTTGATAATGAGTTAAGAGGTGTGGAGTACACACTCGTTCAACGGTATTACAAATTCATTAGCGGGGTCCAAGGGGCAGAGCCCCTGCTAGGATTGGTCCATTGTTGCCTTATAGAAAGTCATCAAACTTTTGTGAATAGTTGTGGAATACTAAGTATTCAAATACTAGGGTGTAGTTTCGAGCAACCTTGCGCAAAAAGTGCCTAGTATTCAAATACTATAACATTAGTATTGAATACTACCTCAACTTCCAGCAACGTTTACGAAAGGGCCTTTAGTATTTGAATACCAACACTAGTTTTTAAATGTTTAGGGACTTATAGAATCAACTCTGAAGTCTGAATGCCTTATTATTCAAATCCTGCAATGTACTCTCTTCGTCCCACTATTCTTGTCCCGGTTTACCTCGGTCTTACTATTTTTGTATCATACCATATTTGGTTGTATTTGTGTAGTTCACATACATTTTTACTTTATTTTACTTTTTGAGATCAGTATCAACCACACAATCTCACTTTGTTTTAACCTTTGGTTTTTTTGTGTGGTTCTCTACTACTAGGGGTAAAAGTTAGGTTCACTTGCACCTTACCCTCCTTATATATCATGAACCAAGTGGTGGAGCCCCCTATAAACATACACAAGCAGAGTGAGAGAGAGAGATGCAATGACTAGTCAAATTTAGGGGGTGTTTCTCGGCCTATGTGCTTATTGGCTTATTGCTGATAAGCAATTTTTAACTTATAAGCTGCTTATAAGTCAAATAATCTTGTGTAGAAGTAAAATGACTTAAATGATAGATAAATCATTTGTAAATGTTCATAAATGCTGAGGGACAATTTTGTAAATAATCTAGTCAAAACGAAGAGACAAAAAAACTGGCTCAAAAACAAGTAGCTAAGACCTACTTACTTTTTCTGGCTTATAAGCAGCTTATAAGTCAGCTTATAAGCATACACAAACATGTCATCTACTAACTTATAAGTAAAAAATTGCTTATAAGCAGTTTTGACAAGCTTATAAGCACAAAGAAACACCTACATAACATAGAGAGCTCTAATACTCCAATTTATACGAAATTTAAAACAAAAACAGCAAAAAAAAATGTAGTATGTTCCAAAAAGATGGGTTTATGGAGGGTACAATATACATAGACCTTACCTCTACCCATAAAGGGTTGAGAGATTGTTTCCAAAATACCCTCAGCTCAAAAAAGGAATAAAATCATAGCATGGTGGCAAAAGACTAGCTAAAGAATACAAGCAAGCAACATAGTGGGGTGGATCTTGCAAGCAACACAGATGGGCAAACACACCCAAGTCCATATAAGAGAGCACATCTACACAAGTCCTAAAACTAATAAAAAGAAGGAAATAGGAACAAGGTAAAAGGGTTCCCCTCAAACACAAGAATATGCTTGAAGCCTATTAATGTGTAATGCAAAGGGAAGTCATCATATTATTATCAAAGCCATATGCTGACTATGAAAAGAAGAGGGAAATTGCACCTGAGAAGCCAACTCTGCCGTTGGTGTCAATACAATGACCTTAGGATTTTGTGATGAGGGTTTATGAAGTCCTTGGAGCTCTTGTTCTCTAAGGCGTTGAATAAGTGGAAGAAGAAATGCCAAAGTCTTTCCTGAGCCACTCTGATCAGATATAATGCAGCTCTTTCCTTCAAGGACATGTTCAAATGCCATTGCCTGCAATAAAGCTTATCGTGAATTCTGATTGGACTTCGTAAATGCTGCTTAGAGATGATATCCAATAACCCACGAGAGAAAAGTTCTATGCGACAAGACTATGATGCATGAGGTCTAAGATGGAACCAGAAAAGAAACATTATATGTACACATGTAGTTGTGAGTAGTTGTGAATATCTAAATGGTATATCATATATATGAGGATAAATTATTTTTTGTAGAATTGTGGGGAAATTCATTTTATAGTGCTTATAAGCAGTGTCATAACCACATCAGAATATAATATTTTTTGTAGAATTGTGGTCATATTCTTGATGAATATGGAAGTTGCACTTGACATTTATTATTGCTGGTTGAAATTGGACTAATTGGGGAAGCATTAGAAGGGTACAATCCTTTCCATTTTAACAAAAATCCAAAATGAAATAGATATCACCAAGAGAATTGAAAATATTGTGCCTGCATGAAAATGATCATTAGATTCTTTTTTTAGTCCTAAGTGCTAACACCATGCTTTCAAGATGAGTAAATGTTAGTTAATGCAACCGTAAGCTTAATCCTAATACTACCCTAATGAGCTTAGCCCAAACTAACTAGTCTTAACACCACCTTAACTATAGATTATACTATAGGGATTGTATTGTAGTGAAGAAATATTAGTTGTTTTGTAATTACGATTAACACCTCTCTTTACATTGCATGGTATGAGAACCTGCGTGAACGTCTACCATGGACCATCCTTATATGTCATGTACCCTAAACTTCAAACGCATTTTCTTGTGCAATTTCACAGAACATTCTTTCTCCAACAACCATAAACACCATCAGGTTTGGCATGAGGCAAGCTAAAAGCTTAAAGTCCACTCCCCTGACATCGATCCCCCTCATGATATGATCGGTTTCACAAATGTTTAACTCTTATTTACGATCCAAACCTTCAGAAGGTTTGTAGTAAGAAAAAGACTAGAACTTCATGGTTTGGCATTTCCATTGGTGTTCCTCTATCAGTGCTTTGTCTTTCCTTTGGATGTGACTATGACAACTAAATCTTTGTCTTGCATCAAGTGGTTCTGGTTGGTTATGACTTTGACGGCTGCACATATAATGAGTGTTTCTTTGTGCTTATAAATAGGTCAAAACTGTTTATAAGTTGTTTTTAACTTTTAAGACGGTTGATGGCGTGTTTCTCTATGTTTATAAGAAAACTTATAAGCTGCTAATAAGTCAAAAATTTGGTAGGTCTTACCTACTTTTTAGCCAATTTTTTCGTTTCTCCATTATGAATTTATGACCAAATCATTTACAAAACTATCCCTAGCCTTTTATGAATATCCCCAAATGACTAATATCTCATTTAAATCATTTTACACAAAATACTTCAAAAAGCAGCTTATAAGTAAAAAATTAGTCGTCAGCAATAAGACAATAAGCACCAACGTAGAGAAACACCCTCATAGTCTCGTGAACAAATATTTCTGCAAAAGGCCATGTCAATACCCATAATGACTATTTCAAATATATAAAGTACCAGAATCCAAGGCCTCCACCACCTCGCTAAAGCAGTACAGTTCCATATCTCTTATCATCATCTTCTAAATGAATAGTTGATTCTAACGACCATATGATAAGTAACTCAAATCTTTTGTCAACATTCCATCCACACCCATACGATAAGTAACTCATTTTTTTTTACTTCCCATTCACACCCAGAAAGTTTTCAAGGTACTTTAGTTGAAAGGTCTACCTCAAAGGTCATCGGAATATGCATGGTTACTCTATAATGCCTAACTTTCCGTTATCCTCTATTTTGAGTCTTCTTGATTTGCCATACAATTACTTTCCATCAGTAAAAATTCTAAAGCACTTCATTTTTAGCATTCCTAGTTGTTGCTTATTCTATGTTTGTAAGATCCTTGATACACAAAAGGAAATTGTTACTTCTCCGGGAATAAGTACTTCCTCTAAGGCTCAAATTCGGTTATGACATTCACCTCCAACTCTTCTAAAAAATGTGTCTTCAATTTGAGCATGTGACTTCTTTGCACGGTGAGTCGTGTTAGTTTGCCAAACATCATCATGCTCATCTAAGTCATATAAACCATAAAACGTAGAAATATGGTTAGTTAATTTAAGTCCTAGAGTTAATGAAAGGAAAACACCCCATTTCATTCCGCCATTAAGGTTTGGGTATGTCGTTAACCGTTTTGAATTGTTATTTCATTATTGTGCTTCATGGTCTGAAATCGATATCTAATTCAATATGCATGTTCTGTGTTCGTATTTCACGAAGTGATAATGGTACACACTATACCTCATAGCCTTTTGTGTCATACTCAAAATTATACTATTCAGTATTCGCCATTCATCATATGTTTCCAACCTCCTCAAATTAGGGCCGTTCGAAGGAAAAATAGACAACTGCTAAAGATGACACATGCTCTTTTATTTCAAATGCATGTCCAAAATCACATATGGGGATTATGGGCTGATGAATTACCCACTGCTTGTATAATGTTGTATCTTGATTAAGTGTACACTATCTCATCATGCAATAGAAAACTTTGTTTCATTCTTTTTTCAAAACAATTCTGTACTTACATTGGTTTTGTTAAAGATACTCATCATCAAGCCAAAAAAATTAGATTCGAGATTGCTTATTAGTTATTACAAATACCTCACATCCCCAAACCTCATGTTACACAGGGAGTCAACCCCTTTATTGAGTTTATTCCAATAACAGAAAGTGCTTCCATCCAAAAACCTCCCATTACACATGTATACATTAGGAGTCAAATTTCCATCTAGATATAATATAGCCCGCAATGGGTGTGCCTCATGTCCCACACCAACTTCTACAATGTTGAATTCTATCCTACACATGCCTCATGTACTACATCTGTTAATCTACCAGTAGCCTATGTGGATGATATTGTTATTACTAGAAGTGGTAGTGCATGTATTATACCGCTTAAGACATTCCTTCACGATCAATTTTAGAGAAAAGATCTGGCCTCAAAAAAACAATTTGTTGTTGTTTGTTGATCCGGGCTCATTAAAATATGTCTTGGGAGTTAAAGTAACAGAGAGTGAATAGGGCATATTGCTTTCGCAAAGTATGTACTTGATTCATTATCTGAAACAAGAAAATTACGGACTAAGACTTCAAACACTCCTATTGCATATTTTATTCATGTTGTAAGCTCTATGCATAGTGTGCAACCATTGACAATTGGATTTTATAAATCTTGAGTTACTTGAAAAGGGTACCAGAACATGGCATTATATGTCAAAACCACAATCATATGAGAATGGAATGATTTGCAGATGGTGATTGGATTGGATCCAGGGATGATTAACAATCGAAAATGTTATACCCGAGACCCGGGGTATAATCAAGTTGCTATTTGAAGATGGAATTATGGGATGGTGAAGAGGAAATGAGGGAGACAAAATATGGGGGTGGAACAAAGCGTTGTTTTTTTGGGTTTTTGATGAAAGAAAAGAATAAGTTCAAGAAGAAGAAATGGTGAGAAATGAAATTGGCAGAGGTAAAGTGAAGGGATAAACCAAGTTGGTGTTAAGAGATATAACACACTCTTATCCTCACTTGGGGTTTGAATCTAGAATTCAATCAAGATATGACACACTTAATTAAATATCTAGAACCTAAAACTCACACTTAAGAGAACCACTCTTAAGATATAGAATTAGGAATTTGGCTAAAATAGCATCACACTATTTTAAGAGAATACTCAAAAGAGTAAACAAGGTTTTTGAATTCAAATATGCTGCTTACAATGGCCATAAGGCCGAACTATATATGCACACTACAAAGGGTAAAGAATACATTAATAATGAAGAAGAAAACAATAACAAAGAAGCTTCCTGTAGCCTTCCCAAATCAGCATCCAAATGAGTGCATTGATGATTAGGATGAGGGTTTCCTTTGGCTTTTTTTTTTGGGGTGTGTATGTCGGCCACATGTGAGGAAAGTCCAAGGCTGTGACAAAGCTTTATTTAGCATATTTTGGAAGGGTCTATTTCGTCCATATGTAGCACAAATAAGTGGGAAACATTGTGGGGCTTAGTGGGATGTTATTTGGCTAAAAATGGGGCTGGTTTGTTCGGCCTCTAGTGAATGAAATCACAAGGAGATATTGGATGAATTTGGAGGATATTCTGTGGCTTGTTTTGAAGAGAGTATTTTGGCTATTAGTGAGCAAGACAAGGGAACATGGTGTGGCTGTGAAAGGAAAGTATTTTGGCTTAAAATGAGTTATGGATTTTCGGCCTTATGCACACAAAATCAAGAAGGATAATTTGAAACTTAATATGAAGATATTCTAGGCTGTATTTGGTGGATTGTTTTCGGCCTTTTGTAGGGGAAAAGGTGAGGAAGGTACACTACATGTTTGGTTGTGAAATTAGTCAACAAAAGGAGAAACTTTTACTATTCAACTTTAGACTCTTTTTGCTGATTTTTTCCCTTTGTGGTAAATGGTAATTTTGGTTGGATTTTAGGAACCAAATGGGGCTGGAATTTCATCTCTATGTAGGAACAAGAAGGGAAGTGTGTTATTTGATTATTTAAGGCTTTTAAAAAAAGAAATAAAAGTGGTCTTCTTATTTTCGGTCAAGGGACTTAAAATAAGTGGAGGAAGACTTTATTTGAAAGGAAATAAAAGACAAGGCATTTTGGATGTTTAGGGATGGTTTGAGGTTTTGGTGGAGCCATCCAGGGGTATAACAGAAAACTGGTTGTGTTTTTGTTGATGGAAATTCAGTTCAAAATATCATGACATGATAGAATCTGCATGTGGGGTAATTTGATTACATCAACTGCAAAAAGAAATTGTCTTCAGAGCACCAAATAGCAATGCATGTTAAGTTGTGGTCTAATAATCACAATGCTACACATTGCCTCTTATCCAGTTTTACATGAGAGAGTGAAGCATATTGTGGTGGACTGCAACTTTGTCCAGAAAAGAAACAAAAATTCATGATTTTTAAAGGATATGTTAAGACGGGAGAACTAGGGAAAAAAAATGCCAAAGCACCGACTAAGGTTTATGTTGTTAATCACTCTAACAAGTTAGGCATGACGGATAAATGTGCACAAACTTGAGGGAAAGTGTCGTTAGTTGTTTTACCCATAATCCTTATGCTATCTTAATAGGCTTAGCCTAATACTCCCTCCATCTCAAATTAACCTTCTTGATTGAGTTTGGAACAAACTTTAAGAAAAGTGAAATTGGGTGGTTGTAAGTGATGCACATGAGAGAGAAAGACGGTGCGCCACAAAAAGCATTCTGAAAAGGGAAAGAGGAAGCTTTTTTAGGGACATCCCAAAAAGGGAAAAAGGAAGATTAGTTTGGGGAGGAAGGAGTTCTAATTAGGTTTAGCACCACTCAAGCCCTAGATTATTACACTTATAAAACGGAGTGCCACTGTAGGAATACAAGTTCTCTTGTAAAATTAAATCCTATTTACATCATAGTATGTAAAAACATATACTCCCTCCGTCACATAAAATTGGTGACACTTTTATTTCACAAAGTTTAAGAAAGTTGTTGAGAAGTAAAAATGTGAGGATAGAATTTGTTATGAGGAGAGAGAATTTTTGGTAGCCACATTAACATTATCAAAATAGAGAATGAAGTGTAAAAAATATTATGGGACAGACGAAGGGAGTAGTAACAAATTGCAGCTTGCAGCATGGAACAAATTATGCTACAATTATCAATTTCTATACCTGGATATGGGAAGGGCTTTCAAACATCTGCTTCCTTAAAGATTTAATCAAGAAGTCACTGCACCCCAAATCGCGAAATGATCTTTTGCTGAAAAAATTACTGCCCTCATACAAGGTCCTCTTTTTGTCGTATGAATCATTTTTGTTACCCCATCTTACCATGTGATCAACAGAGTCTGTTGAAGCATCTTTTAAAGAAGAAAGATTATGGGCCTTAGGTTTGGTATCAGAGTCCTTGTTTTGATTTTGAAGCTGCTTTATTTTGTTTCCAGCAGTTGCATTGTCGCAATCCTTGGCCATCCTTCTCCTCAGCGTTTGCAGGAGAACTTCTGAATCTATTGATTGTTCAGAACTGGAACTATCATTGGGAATGTCAAAGCTCTCATGCCTCCCTGAATGGTCAAACCCAGATTTCATAGACACCCTAACATTCTGTGAATCACGATTATGAAAACCACCTTCTTCCTTATTTGTATATTTTTTCCTCACAAGATGTCTCATTTTATGGAATTTAAGTCTGCTAAAACTTTGCCCCGGTGCAATCTTAGATGCTGCACAGCCAAAAAGAGAAATGAGAAATCAAACGAAGAATGCCGCTAAGCATTAGGAATTCAATGAAGGAGTAAGCATAATCAGTTAACATTTAAAAATGCATTGGAATGTCCTATGATTCCTATCTATAGTTGTTAAAAGAATGCCCGAGGCGCATGGCCTGGTTCCAAAATTTTATGTTCGCAAGGCGTGCACCCGAGCATGATTTATGTGCATATCTTGCTTTGGCACTTGGCAGGCGCCGCATTTGAGATGCATGCCTGTAAATTAAGCATGTGGCAATTTAAAAAAAAGCAGAATCATGGGTTGGCCGCTGATTTTCCACTAAAAGCTATCCAATTTAGATGGGTTTTTATGGTGACGGAGATGATGACTTTCTTTATGATTGATTAAATTGAAATTCTATGCTGACATTCTTGTTTTAATAAACTGTGTTCAAAAGTGAATCTGGACATGGAACTTTTGAACATTTATTACCACAAGCCTATACTAAATCCCTATTAAGGCATGGTGGTGCTTGGAAGAGGAGGGAGTGCAGCGGTTGACGAACATCTTTAACGTAATCTTGAAAGCTGCCAAGAGTGGAGGCCAAACAAGTGATCCAGATCCATTAGAACAGAGGAAACACACTTAGTAGTGTCTAATATCACAGCATTACACTACTCAAGCATACCATGACACTATGGAAGTCGCTGAATCAAAGATGTATCGTGAAACAGATGTGACTGAGAACCACATTGATTTCATGCTACGATGGTCACCAATCAAGGAAATCTACCTTCTTACACATCGTATGAGAAAATATAGATAGTGCAGTAAAGACGTGCACATGGTGTTCAAAAACCTGGAGAAGATCTATGATAATGTTCAATAAGAAGTTTTTATTTGGATCAGTCATGGATAAATGTGAGAACGGTGCACGATATATGCACATGCGTGAAGACTTTTGTCAAGACCACAGAGGGAAACGAGGCTACACCACAGATGCAGTCCCGAGGTTATGTTCCACATGTTTTTCTTTGTAGTAGTGCTCTTGTTCCTCTTTGCTTTAATTTAAAGGTGCCAGGGTATCTAGGAGAGTATCCTGTGGTGTCATAACTTCTAGACGACTTTATACTGACTGATAGAATACCTTTGGTGCAACTCTAGAGGAAAACAATAAGGAGATGGTAAAACTCAGGATTGGGGAGCAAAGAGCACTACAAAAGAACAGTTTCAAGTATTTGGGATATTGACTAGGAGAAAAAGAGAGAGATCAAGCCATCAAGGACGACACCACACACCGTTTATGATAGCAGATTACTTGTAGGGTTTAAGAGAAACAGTTATTCGGGGGATGAGGCCCTCCTAGTACTTTGCATTCTTACATACCTACTTTTTATTGTGCTATCCATTTGAAGTTGTATTCTGTCATTTTATGGCTTCCCTTTAAAACCAAAAAAAGTTTTTCCACACTGTTCACCCTACCTTTCACCTTGGGAGTTTCAAAATTTCACCTCTCATCATCTCATGTACAAAGAGATCTTCAAAAGTTACACATTTTCAGGAACTTTCAAATTTTTAACATCTTCCAAAACCTCTAATAATTTCCCATAACCAAAAGGGGTCTTCACAGCTACAACTATCTGCTTGTAGGGGTAGAGGTATGGTCTATGTACATCGTACAATTCCCGCTCTTCACTTTCAAGTGAGACACACTGTATGCTACTATGCTTGCTTGGTTTGGTTTGGTTTTAGATCATCACATAATTATATCTTAATATGGATATATGGGTGTTGTTTATCAATGAATGGTTTATGTGTTTGTTTAGTGTATCAATATAACAATTATTAGTAACTAATAGAATAGCATTCTTTGGGTCCTTCTTTCTTAAAAACAATGCCACTACGCATTTGTTAGTAGTACTACCTGCTCATAATTAAACCTCTATTCGGCCATTGCATTGAAAACATAGTTACCACCTCAGGTTGAAGTCCATTAGGATCCCACTATTGAAGTCAAATATATTAAATCAAATTAGGTGGAAGACCATTCTTAAAGTGTTTTTAAAATCTACACTATGTGACAGCAAGATGTTCTCCAAAACATATGATGCTGGATTCTATTATGCAGAGCATACACAAACTTTTCACAGAGTGACCAAATGTCAAGTTCATTTGAAATTACTTGCAAACTGAGTGAAAAATAGGAACACGGGTTTCTACCTTTGAAGTTTCCGCCATTAGTGCCGTTTGCAGGCTTGTTGGCTTTCCAAGCGGAGAGGAGATCCTTAGAAGGGACATCAGATAATTCATCACCGTTCTCAACTCCTCCCCAAACTATGAATTTCTCACCAGATTCTTTGTCAACAAGCTCGTAAGCGCCGGCGGTGTCCATGGGCCTTCGAGTATAAGAGCTTCGAACTAACACACCCACCGCCCTTCTCCTCCTGCAACTAAGAAGCTTAGCCGCATGCATGATGCGGCCACGGGGGAAAGGATGCAGCACCGTCGCTCTCGCTAAATCGCAGGTATGTAGAACAAATGGTGGCGGACCCGTCGCCGCCGCCATCACTGCGGCTTCGCCAAGCGACATTTCCTTTAAATCTCTGCTGGAGGATACATTTCCAACGGAAGAGTATTCATTACTCACTCAATCCGGAGTTAGGTCCATATATGCCTACGGGCTACAGTATATCATAGAGTATTAAATACTCCTCTCCCCCTAAATATTTACAACATTTGTTTTTTCATTAGTGTCAGGAACTTTTATTTATTTTGACGTTTTCATTAGTTATTTGATAAAATAAATATTCCTGACACTTCTTATTTCGAAGAAATTTTCATGTAGTTTTTTTATATATAAATTTTATTTTTTATTTCTTTACCAATATGTAAATAATATGAATTGAAAAAACTTGATATTTTGACTCGGGAATACAAATGTGGCAAATAATTTGAGACGGAGGGAATATTACAAAGTACTATTTTTTGTAGGTGAAGCCAAAAAGAATGAAAAAATAGAACCAATATTTTAGAGTAATTTCTTAAATTGTACTCAATAATTACGTGTTTTTTTTTCAAATTCATACTCAAGATGAGTTAATTGCCACGATGGCACTCGATAATTAAAAATAATGGTCAATAAAATATATACTCCGTAAAATATATCAAAACAAGAGTTTTATGTATTTATTCCAACATAGAAGTTAAATATATGTAGGATGTCAATTATGCCAATATGTAATACTTCCCCCATTCTAAATTAAATTGTTTATTTACTATTGAAATGGTCAAACTTCATTCACTTTTTTTCTATTTTCGTTAGTTACTTGATAAAATAATAGAGTCATGTTACCACTAGTTCGATCTTTTAATATAATTTTTAAATATATAATTTCTGTTTTCAATTATACTACGTACACCATTTTTATATGAAATGTTATAAAAATAACTTCAATCAAATATCACAAACTGAAACAGATAACTTAAATTGGGACGGGGGTACAAAAAAGTGTAACAAAATGTTCATGTACACTACTGTCATATTATCACAATGCAAACTACTATTTTGGAAATAAAAATATGGTACCTACTTTGATATTTTTTCTATGTTTTACTTTTAGAGTAATTTCTTTTAATATACTTTTACCACTAGTTCGATCTTTTAATATAATTTTCTATGTTTTACTTTAAGAGTATGTGTTAAGTTTGTCTTTTTTTAAATCGAATTGGTTAAATCTTGTGCTTGATAACCGATTGAATAAATATCACATTGCTCATTAATAAAATAAAAGAATTTTATAAACATTTTAAAATATAAATCTTATTAAATTAGTTTTTGTGCATATATGTAATCTAATTTATTTAACTGATAGTTAAAAATTTACTGCAAAGTAAACATATACTCCTTCACTTTCAAAAAGAATTTTTATTTATTACTCCGTTCAAACTTTGACTTCTTTGTCAATTTTCATTACTCAGACTAAGAATAGTTTAAGAACACTGTTTAAACTATGAATATTTAACGTAATATTATGTGCATGACATCAAATGATTTCGACGCTGAGCGTGTAATATGCTTTATTTTCTATAAATAGGTAAACAAAATAAAGAATGATTTGATGATGATGCAGACGAGATGTCTGGATGGCCGCCCCATATTTTGTCCATTTTTATATTTTTTGTCAATCTCAATATTTTTGTCTCATACCATATTTAGGGTCTGTTCTTTAGGGATTGAACTCTTAACTTCTAGTTCCTTCCAGTTTTTTTATCTCATACCATATTTAGGGCCTGTTCTTTAGGACTTGAACTCTTAACTTCTAGTTTCTTCCAGTTCCTTCCAGTTTTTTTACAGTTTCTTCAAGTTCCTTCCAGTTTCTTCCAAATTTTCTCATTTTCTTCAAATTTTTTTTAGTCCCCAACCAATTACTCTAAAAATGATATATTTCAATGTGATTATTATTATTATTATTATTATTATTATTATTATCATTATTATTATTATTATTATTATTATTATTATTATTATTATTATTATTATTACAACTGTTACATTCATAACTATAGTTTATAAATTATTTTTTCATCTCACTATTTTTACGATTCACATTTATTATTTTTTCTTCAACTTTATACGGAGTAATATGAATAAGACATTTTTTTTGTATATTAGTCTACATGATAAAACAGGAAAACATCAATATGTTAAATTATACTAAACATTATGGATAAAATAGTTACATTGAATGTTTTATGAATATAACTTTTTATAAGACATCTCAGTTTTCCCTTTATTACTTAAAAATTGCTCATTTTTCTAATTTTTATATAAAAATAATTTGTAAATCAAAAGAGCATAGTGAAAAAGACTAAAATATGAGTATGACATAAAAAATGTAAATAAAAAAGTTCTATTTCTTTATTCCAAAAATAGGAATTCAATGAAAATAAAATGTCAATCATGAAAGAAACAATATGTTTGATTATGTGACATGTATGATATTTAAAAAAATTGTTTTAATATATAAATTATAATTACAAATATATTATTTATAATAAACACTGCATAAATAAATTGTGGTGCAATATAACTACACAGACTTTTTAAAATTTAATATTTTTATATTTATTCTAACTTTATATTATAATTTATTTTTTATACAAGTAGTTTTTTGTATTTAAACAAATAACAATTATACTTTTTTTATATCTTAAAGACATTCACTAAGATAACATGCTGATGATAATGATTACAATGATGATGATGATGATGATGACAATGACAATGATAATGATAAAGATAAATAATAATAATAATAATAATAAGAATAATAATAACAATAAGAATAATAATAATAATAGTTTATAACAACAAGAATTTAAAATAAATATTTTTAAAGTTTTTTTAGGTTTTTCCAGTTTCTTCTAATTCTTTCCAGTCCGTTCCAGTTTTTTCCAGTCCTTTCCAGTTTCTTCCAATTTTTTCCAGTTTCTTCCAATTTTTTCTAGTTTCTTCCAACATCCAGCCCCTTTTTTACAATTCTAAAGAACAGGCCCTTAGTCATGTATGTGTGGTGAAACAAAAAAAGCCATGTAGGTGTGGTTTATTTTTGTTCTTTCTTTATCTTACTTCCTACTACTTCCGTTCCGCTATATTCGTCCACTTTTGACTTTTGGAACTTTGACTCATCAAATTCTCTCAATGTGTAAGCCTATATATAGTCATGTGTGATCTTGTTTAATTTGTCTTAACATATAGATTATTAATATATAATTTCTATAATTTTTTTAATATACAAATTACAAGATAAAATGGATTAAAGAAATGTATTGGATAACGTGTAAAAATAAAAGTGGATAAATACTCTGGGATGGAAGGAGTATGTCTCAATTTAAATTGCTAATATGATGTTTGATTGGAGTTATTTTCAAATTATTTTATATTAAAAATGGTGTAAAATTAAAAAATAAAAATTATATGTTTAAAAATTACATCAAAAGATTTACTCCGTACAAAATTAGCGGTGACATGACTATATTATTTTATCAAATGACTAACAAAAATAAAGAAAGAAAGTCAATGAAGTTTAACTATGTAAATAGTAAACAGATAATTTAATTTGGAATGGATGGAACACTTTTAACATTAATAACAACCATACAAGAAGAGTATAATATATGGCACCCGTTGAAAAATTTCTAATTGATCAGTTATCTAGGACGATTTGCAGAAAAATATTTTTACAGAAGTGATGTAATTAAGAAAATTCGATGGACCAAAAACATAATTCCCTAATTTTACATGGACGAAAAACATATTTAACCATTTATATTATATTTATAAAAAATAGGAATTCGTTATTGAAGACAAATATACGAAGTAGGTGAGTACATCTTGTAATTTAAATCCTTCACCATTCCCGGGGTGGGATTTCCCTTACGGTAATTTTAAGAAGGAAACTTGATTTTACCACAAGTTGAGTTTGATGTTATTCATATGATCAATCTTTGGATGAATTTTCGGAGCTCACTTTTGTTATTGAGTTCTCACACATATCTTAATCACAAAAACACACAATTTACATTGACATTCTAATACTTTCATTTAAAATCTTACAAGAGAACATGACATTTATAAAAACATAAATGAAGGAAGAAAAACTTAACTTTTTTCTTAGGTCTTATTTGGTATCAACGTTAAAAATTAGCATTGATGTTTTGAAAAGGCTATCTGACGGTAGCTTTTAGTGTTAGCATTTTCTGAATTAATCCGCATCATTAAAATTTTATCCATTACGCTAATCATAATCGAAAATGTTGTTCCCAAACAAGGCTTTAATAGCTCTAAAAATGCTTGTTTTCCCTCTTTTTAAAACTTCTTTCAATAAATATGTACTATCATAGATTGCAATTCAAATATTGTCCGCTATGAACCAAACTTTACAAATTTATTTTTAGACATCTTCTAAAAGATATCATACTAATAGAGTTAGATAACCATATTTATTTAGGTCATTCTTCTTTTTCTCCACTTTCAATGTGGGATAGAGTTTACACCTCAATAGTGTCTCCCTCACAAATTAAATTGTTGATTTATTATTTACAGGTTCAAATTTCAATTATTTTCTTTATTAATGTTTGTTACTCATTTAAAAAATATATATAACCACGTCACTTCATGCGTTGCGAGTAGATAATTGTTGATATAGGTTTTAAGCATATAATTTCTTTTTAAATTTTAGCACAATTCTCAAATAAATTGAATTAAAAATAACTTTAATCGTAAGTTTCTAAAACATATTCTCGTTTTCCATTTTAGGTCATTTTGAACTTTCTTTCCATTACCATCTCCGACCTTTCTTCTTCTTACCTTCTACAGAGTATGTCTTTTCTCTTCCTCTCATGGATTTCGTCCTTCTATTCCCGATCTTCTCTCTCCACATTTTATTTTTAAATTTTAAATTTTAATTTTAAATTTTAAATTTTACTTTTTTAAAAATTTAATTTTAACATTTTAAATATTTATTTTAATTTTAAACTTTAAATTTTAAATTTTACTCCAATAAATTTTAGCTTACGAAGAGCTTGAATTTTGGCAAGGGAAATGAAATAGGCAGAGCTTCACCCTTATCTATCCATTAACTCTATATACATCACTTATTACTTGACTTGTCCATCATCTGTTACATACATTATTTATAATTCGATTCATCTACCGCCCGCGAGTAAACAGGTGAAGACATGTCATATGAGTAATAATTTTTTAATCATTAATTTCATGAAATGGAAAACTTATGAAGTGCATGACACACACAAAATGTTGGAAAATAAAAGAATACTATGTGTGTGATGAAATCCTGCAAAGAAACAATTTTCTAATAAGAACAAGTTCCGAAGTAAATGTGTTGAGGTAGGAGAGGAGATAAATGTGTTTAGGGGCATTTTGGGAAAAATCAATATACGGAGTAATTTTTACACTTTCTTAAAAAGAATCACAATCAAATGGAGACAAACGTTGTAGGACTATTGAACTAAGGGGGCAATCACTTAAACATGATTTAATTATACTCGTATGTCAATGTGGGGACAAAGTGATACCGTAATGCAAATTGATGATGAGGCAAATATCATATTGAGCATTTCATGGGTGGGGATTTTGCTCCAAGGGAGAACCAATCAGAGGGTAGAGCCTTAAAGGGAGGGGGGGTACTATTAGGGCAACACTAACAGGTTTAAGGGCGCGTTTGGCAAGAACATCAGCATTTTAAAAATGTTATCTAAAGGCAGAAACCAATTTTGCACTACCAAAAAAAAAAAAACACCAACGCTAAATGAAAGCGTTGTTCCCAAACAAGTCCTATCCTAAGAAGCTAAGGTATCAACTTTTACAGTTTAATATTCTCACCAGGTAAACAGTGCAGGTTCACAGGAAAATTGGGGTGTGGACAAAAACAATTAGCAGATCATAATGAAGGTTCAGTCCACCACAAACTTTGGGAATGTGGACACAAAAGATGGGGCAAAAGAACAGAAATAAAATTACAGCTTACTATTACTTTAACATCTTTAAATGATGAGAGATCCATCTACAAAGAAAAAACACAAAAGGAAATTGAGGGGCACCCATGGATAGAAGGGTGGATGGTTTTTTTTCCTCTACATTTTCTGTTGACCCATACCCATGGGTAGACACCAAGACTTCAAAAAACTAGCAAGCCCCCCATCCCGCCCTGGGCTATGACACGAACTTAGAAAACTATGGTACATTTGCCATCGAATGATGGGACCGGATAAGGGAATATAAAATGAAAGAATAGGTTCTAGAGTCGCATACCAGGGAAATATTTTCCATCTATATCCACAGCAAGGCCTGGTGAGTGAGTGACCCCAAACTTGTAGGGGATCATTGGGATGGAAAAGATTGATGAAATACGAACAGAACCGCTTGAATCAATACTCCACCTCATGTAAATACTTTTGTGCCATGGGAGTCACCCCCACAGGTGGCCTTCATGACTAGTTCTTCTCTCAGTTACCAGCACTTTGTGCCTCACACAGTGACAACATACTTGTACTATGTACAGCTTGATCATGCGAGAACAACTTGATTACCCCGAATTCCCAGCAGCTTCGGAAGCGTTCTGTCGCATCATCTCCATCACAGCAGCCCGACGCCGTGATTCGGCTTGTTGTTGGAGCCTCCTAAGATGCTCTCTCAAATCCCTATTGGATGTTCATATATTTGAAATGTTATTTTGAGACATGGATAGCATGGTTCTTGGAGGGGGGGGGGGGGGCAAAAGAGGAGAAATGAGGATTAGGTTAGTGAGGGAAATTAGACAACAACCTGCACCGAGGAACAGCACATTCTGATTCTTTGCATGCCCGCGCATGAAGTTGAAGGAGATACCACATCTTCTTGCAGAGGACACAGCCTGCGGAAGCGCGCCTTTTGCATTGGATTGCATGCCGGAAGAGTCCCTTAACCTTGCGACAGTTGGGATACTGACACTGTGCGGAACGGCACCGAGAAGCATGCACCAGAAGATCAAGCATTTTCCTAAGCTGTAGAGTGAAAACGAAAAGAGCATCAGACCTTGGGTGTCAAAGAGACTAATGGTTGCGGTGCAATTCAATTGACATCAATTAAAAGATAAATAAGCAAGCCAAACGGAACATAAATGAAGCCTCAATTATAGATATCATGAGCTCAAAGCATAGTAAGTGCACCTGCACAACACGTAGCTGTCGGGCTTCCTTATTTTGTGCATCACGGTCAGCGATGGATGGATAATTAGTCAACTTATGTTGATGAGTGACTCCGCCATCCTTTTGATAACAAGCATTACATACATCATACTCTGGGCAAACCTCACATCGCCAGCCTTGACCAGCTTCAATATCAAGATGGCATATATTGCATGTGGTCACAAATGCAGGAGCAGTGGGATTGTGAAGATGGTATAGGACCATCATTGATGAATGTTTAGCACGACGGAGGGTATCATATTGGTAGTGGTTTCCTTGACAGAGACTCAAAAATGCTTGCCTTGTATCAAAGAACTCACTCTCGAGAATCTCGTCTTCATCCTTCGTATCGGTAGGCACATCATTAATATCAACCTACACAAATTTATAGATTTTAATTCTCTCATCAAATACATATTAAGAAAATTGCATCAAAGATGTAACAGAGTAGCTTACTGGATAAAGCATATGCTTGTCCTTTTGGTTGATAGGGTGCCTCTCCCTGTCATCAAGTTTTTGCTCAGCTTCATAGCACCTGGAAGCAGTTGAAGAACATGTAATAATCTCGAGAGAGAAAAAACACAAAACAGTAGCAGTAAATGGAATTTGAGTGTCAATTGTCAACCTATAGAGCAAAATAATGTGCTTTATCTAGAATGATCCACTTATAAGACAACAACAACAACATTTCCATAGTGCCTCAAAGGCTCCCACCCACCGTGGGGTAAGGGGGTAAGATGTACACAACCTGACCTGTATGTTTGAAACATGGAGCGGTTGTTTCTGGGTGACCCATAATGAGCATCGAAAGTTGCATGGACTAACTGAGTAAATGCTACTTCACTATTGAAAGAAGCCCGGACAATTTAACTAGCCATTTTGCTCTATTCCATCATACCCTAAAGCCAAAATATAGTTAATCTTTGGCTCCATCGGAGACGATGGACTATAATCTAGATATAAGACGAAAAAGGAAATTACTAAACACAAACATCCATTACCTATTGCACTAGACTCATTATTGACAATGTTTTAGCTTCGCACAAATAATGGACTAAATAAAAATGGCGCATTACACATTCTCTGATACAGGTCAGAGGAATTAAAGGAAAAACAGCCAAGTGGGGTTAGTGAGTGAATGGGTTAGTAACTATTTATGGAAATCAGCGGCACAACTGCTTCTGTTCTTTGTATTTATGTTAGTACTTAGTAGTTTAGGATCTCTAAGGTTGTTTGGTTTATTTTGAATTACTTAAGTACAATTCTGTACTGGAGATTTGCCCCTCTCAAAGTGGGCCGAGAAGTGCAATTTATCTTTGTTTGCATCTTAATTTTCTGGTTCTTATCATACTCTACTTTTTACCAGGGTATGGTTGCGTACATCTTAACTCCCAACCCAACAGAGTCAGGATTATATTGGTTTGTTGTTGGTGTATGAACAACAAAATGTGGCATTTAAAAGCACTGATGTTAACATAAACAAAGATATAAGTCATGTAACAGTGGAAAAAGCATCCATAAAAGGCAAAGATGGAAACTATTTGTCATGCAAATAAAATGACATTAAAAAACACCTATAGATTGCTTTAAGAATACCAGATTTTTATTCTAAAATATTGGCATCTTCCAAAATATGTATCTTTACTCTCTTTTTTTTGAAAAAGTATCTTTTCTTTTTAGTATTTCCAAATTAAAAAAAAAAAACATATGCCTTCAGTCTTGGTTGAATGTTATTTATAAGAGCTACTACAACAAATCCCATCTAAGCTCAACTTGGTTGAGGTTTAGGGGGTAAAGATGAAAGCAACCTTACCACCGTAAACATCAGATAGGCCATTCTTGTTAGACCCTTGATGGATGCATTGCTCTATTTATGGCCCAAATCTTCATACTCCATCCGCCCAATGAGTTTGTCCGGTTTGACTTTTTGGAGTCAAACTGGACAAACTTTCATCATCAATTAAACAAAATTTACATTGTAAACTAATAGAATAAAAAATATTTTAAAAATATAATAGAAGATAAATCTAACTAAATCATTTTCATACCAATGTATAATGTGATTTTTATTTAATTGATGATTAAAATTTGTTCAGTTTGATTCCAAAAAGTCAAACTGCACACACTCATTGGGACGGAGGTAGTATTTAGTAAGAAACAAGAGAAGTTTAAAGTGCCCTTTTTATTGTGGCCATTATTTACTCGAAGCTTTAGCATTGTAAAAAATGACTCTTTAAGCTTCATTGGAAATGGACGATGTTTATGTATTAGTAGAAAACAAAAGATATTCACAGTTTCAAAAAAATTCTGTAAGAAATGAAACAGTTTAACAAGCCCAAAAGATAAAGATGCTGAGAGGGAAGCAGATTTTTACTTGTCACAAAGCTGAAATTTTTTGCATTGATTGCAGACCCAACGTGTTCCACATACCATCAGAATGCAGCAATGACTGCATGAATGTTGCAAGTGAACCATAATAAAATCCTCCTTCATTGGGCTAATTGTTTCACCAAGCTGCAAAAGTGCAAATCTGTATGAATATATCTGTATAGAAATGTAGCATAGACTCTACCTGTTTACTCTAAAAGTATATTTTCCTTACATTTTGAAACAGGAGGAACATGTAACATATCCAAAGTGAGGTTGAAAGAAACAACTGCTTATCAAGGAAACTATAATAAAATTATAAAAATGAGGGAAACTCGTGGTTGGTCTTATGTGGCACAACTTGTAGAGCCATACTCTTTCCTTCCCGCAAAGAAGTTCACACCTTCCTTTTTCATCCATCCCAAAATAAACTATACGCTTCGCATTCCTTCTTATAAACAAATTACAACCACACCTCTCACTTTTCAATACCTTTCTTAAACATCATGAAATAAAAATGTAAATTTCGTTGAGGATGGGAGGGAGTATATACCATCTCTCATGACTTGGACAATGAAGAGCATGTTCTCTTCGTCTAATTTGATTGGATCTAATTTGGTTTTATTAAGGTGTGATATGATCTGGTCTGATCTTATTTGATTCTAGTTATATTTAAAGTTGTTCCAATAAGAATTAGTTGAGGAGAACACACTCAAAACCCCTACTTCTCCTATGAACACCGGGTGGATTAACCGCACTACCATAGTTCTTTTGGAGGGAATTTGTAGCACCCACGTCGATTAGATCTACACTGAACGGACAAGTTATGTATAAAATGTAGGTTCGCAAATGCATACCAACCCTATTATCAGGATGGCCCATGACAGAGATAATTAATGAATTGCTATATAATATGACTAAAAAGAGATCATTGGCGACAAAAAACAGTGAGCATAATTGTTACACCATAGCCTAAGCGACAACTTGGTGTCCTGTCCTAACGGTGTTCTCGTCATGGCTACTCGACTCGTCAGAATTTACCAGACAAAGCTTGGCGTCACTTTGGTGACGAATTGGTGGCTTGATGCTCAACGGACATCTAGCTCACGGAAAGGTAAGTGGTAACTGTTGGCAGATCTGAACACGATGCTTCCACCGAATGACATCGCTCAGGTCAAAGGGTTGCTGCACAAGGTATTCACAGAGATCTGAACCAATAGCTTCTTAGCTTTCTATTCCTTCATATTTTTTATTTGGTTGTGTGATCTACAGTTGTCTGTATTTTCCTTTAAAAACAAAATAAACCCATAGAATTTTTTATTAGACAAACCTAACAGCTTTGTTCTCTCATATACTCTCTCCGTTACAAAATACTATTGTTTTTTAACTTCGAGTTTGTGAGTTTTGCATCCTTGAAATATCAGCGAAACAATTTATTTTAATTTTTGGAGTACTGTTTTGAATGTTTTTTTGGAAAGCGCAATTCTGAATTTCTGTTTATTAACTTATGCTTCTGAGTTATTTTTAAGTTACATATTTTTGTCTCATGTGAATTTGAACTTGGAATTTTGCAGAATTTGAACTTTGAATTTTATGAATTACAATATACGAAGTATTGTGTAATAACTAATGTGGAGTATATATTTAGATAGGTGTTACTAATGGATTCCCATTTATTATGTGCTGCCTAAATGTTGCCTAGGCGACAAGGCATCCTGGCTGTTCACTGGCGCCTTGCCTGGGCGCCATGCCAACTATGATTGTGAAAGAACCTATTTTTAAAAAATGTCAATATAAGCTCTTTCTATTAAATGAATAAACAAATATGAGAGTAGATAAACAGTAACCTTGTGCATCAGCAACAAATCCTTTGAAGCATTTCCAGAGAGATCAGTTTGACCAAATGCTTTTAAAGCTCTTTTAGTGATAGTCTTCTTCAAGCTTCCCTTCTTAAATTGTTTTCTTCCATCCTCTTCTTGTTGAAGCTGATAGATCATATCTTCTGCTGCACCAGGCCAGTAATCTCCATCAAAGTAGGGCAGCCGTGCTGCAGTCACCTTAGCTTTACATTCACCCGTAGACACAAAGAAATGATCATATAAGTTAGTGAGATCAACCACAATCTTTTCCTTTGAAGCTTTCCTTAGCATTGATAAATACCTGCAACAAAATTACATAAAGCAAATCCAGTAGATCAGATGAAGAACAGAGCATATATTAAGGATAAGAAAGTAGTAGGCTCACCACTCCCTGAGTTTTTCAGATTTTGGTGTTTTCTGAATTTCAGGATGGCAATATAATATATAATCTTCACCCTTCAGCGGAGGGCAGGCCCAGATGTAGCAACTTGTGAAACCACGCTTTTTGCAGTACTCTAGATATCCAATCTGGAAGGGAGCATTCTTAAAATTTAATCAACTCACAAGAATGCCATTACAGGAAGAATATGTATGCCAGCAACTTCAAATACAGAAAACAATATAAAGAACTTGCCAGAATTTCATGATATACAAATGTACGTAGAGCCTCTCCTGTCACCGCTTTGATCTCTGGTCTGAAATACTTAACAGAGTCAAGATATGAGAGGTAAACACGCCGATGATTAGGTTGTGAGCATTCGGATCCAAATTCCTGAACATACATGCCGAATAGGCACACTTCTACACCTTCAATTCTTTGAAACAACAATAATACCTGGAAAAGCAACATGTTTGTTCATCCATCATAATTTTACATTAATTGACTACAAGTGATTAGTTCACTGCTATACCCAATACTAAAAATAGAAACACGACAGCAAATCATTTTTAACTTTGTAGTGAAGGTGAATGTTTTTATGTTGGACCACTTTCAAACAACACGAACATCGATATTTTGACTTTGATAGATTGAAAAACCAAAAAGAATTCCTAAAAGGGATTGTTTCACTTATATCCCTTGAGGTTAGGGAATATTCCAGAACACAGAGCCCCTCCTCTTCTGACAACTCCCCCCTTTCCCCCACCCTGTGCGCCCATATTTCTCGGTGTGAATCTATTCCATAGTCTCTACCCATTTCCCTTATCAGATTGTTTTTAAGGCTGATCTAAGGGCAAAAACGGGAAACACTTGATGAGATACGTATATTTTTAAACAGTATTGGGTCTCATTGCCAATCTTAATATAGGGTCTTGAGATATTGTCCATTCATAAGTTCAGCACACTGTGCTAGCTAAGTATGTACCGACACAGGGTTCCAGAGTTCATTGTTTGGAGAAGCAAAAAACTGTGTGGTCATTATTACGGGGCAAATATGGCAGCACCATTTTGTCTGATCAAACTGTAATCAAATACAAAATTATTACATGTACTACCCTTCAAAATATATCTTCAGCTATACACAACAAATATTCGTATTTACAATCCTTCCAGAAACAAAGTTTGCTGCCTAACAGACTGCATTTACGTCTATCAGATTATTCATATGAGTCATGTATTCTGAATTTAAAGGGAAAAAACTAATAATTCGGATTATTTCACATCCAAAAAGATACCTTTGATTTATATGGAAACTCGAGGGGGTAGTTCTCTTCTTGAAAAATCTCAAGAAAACGTGGCTTAACTTCTAACTTCTTGTCGACTGATGAAACAACTCTTAGAACAAGTCCTTCTGCTCCAGGAACCTGGAAAGATAACATAAAGGAATGAAAAGAAATAAAAACTTATACAAGAGCAATGGATATTTTTGAAGCCAAAAGGATTAAGTCATAGTGTCATGCTGAATATTTTAACTGAATATAATTTTGTAAAATTCAAGGGAGACTGGTGAAGGAGTGTGTTTCAATAAAAGAGAGAAAACAAAAGGACTTAAGGATCAAAGGATTTTCAAGGCTCAAAATGTTTAACACAATGGATTTCTGAGTATCCAATGATTTAGGAGGATCTAAGTATCAGATAATTTGCTAGAATTTATGATGCTCAAAGGGTTTACAAAAATCAACTTATACTGGTATGTTTGCAGCTTTAAGGTAAACCGCCATTAATTAGGGAAATAAATTATTATTTAATAGCACTCATGAAACAAAGTAAACTAGTCAAAGCTTTCCTTACCCAAAGTGATCTTGTCCCTCTGTGTCTTATTTGAACTAGTTCTCCTACAATTGAATATTGATGTGCACATCTGTTGAACTATTTACTATTGTATCATGTACAACCTCCATTCCATTCAGTGGGCCTCTCAAAATGGGGAAACTCAAAAGATTGTAAAGGAACTCATTATTTTAAAAAAACAACGCCCTTTGTTCCAATTCAGTTTTTTTCATTGACCAAATCGCATTGTTAAAGTGATAACTTTATCAAAGGTTTTGTATTTTGCCTAAAATGGTGATTTCATACAGAATAATTGCCTGCTTTGCATCTAATATGGTTAGTATAAGATGAAGAGAATTTGGGGGAAAATATTTATAGTGCATAGATTTCATAATTATTTGAATGCGATGTGATTAGTCATTTTTTCCTTCCCTTCAACTTCAACTAATTTAACTTTGGACATGCCGTATGCCAGTATGTTCTGTTTCATTACACTCTTCTATTAACCACACATCTTACTGCATGTCCAGTGAAACCAAATCAATGAAAAATGAAGTATTGATCACGAATTAAGACAAGCATTATTCCAACTGCAGGGGGCCACATTCATATACATAATGCACGGATTAGCACATGCTTCACCTACCTCATCATGACTTTTTCCTTGAACCCTTGCTCTCTCCTGTCTTTCCTGCCTCAATCGCCAAGCTAGCCGCCGCTCAATGTGATCACTCAGGATTGTTCTAGGCAGATCTTTTGCTCCAAGAACAGAACTTTGGGGTAAGGGTTTTCGTTCTCCTCTTTCAACTTCAATAATATAGCAATTAGGACATGTATACTCAGCTTGTCCACCATCATTCCTTCTACCATTAAATAAAGCACAAATTTGGTGTTGCCATGCTTCGCACTTGTCACATTGAACCCACTGCAAGGGGCACAATATGCTTATTTGTAACATCATATGCAAGGCACAATAGCAAATAAGTAAATTCTAAAGGATTAAGAAAAATGTAAAATAGTATTCTCCATCTGACATGGTAATATCAAATGTATTTCTAAAATAAAGAAATGTTTAAGCCAAAAAGTACCCATTCTTCTGTCTCCTCGTCATTTTTCTTCTTCTCCAACTTTGACTTTGTAATATTAGTTCCATCAACCACAATGCTGTCTCCGCAAGACTCATTATAGCATTTAATGCAAAAATAGTTCCGAGTTTCTCCACCTCCCATGGTATAGTACATGGCATTTCTTTTAATACGAGCACCGCAGGGAGAACAATAAATAGGTGGTGGTTCAAATGTAAGTTTCTCGACTGCACACAGTTGGCAAGAATTTTCACTCATGGAATTCTCCATTGCCTGATTTTTTTCGACTTTTGCCTTACTCTGTGAAGCAAAACAAAGAAGATTTAATTAAGGAGTGTAGAAACATGCAAATCAGAAAACAAAATCCTAACAGAGAGAACTAGTGCATGCTATCTCACCATAGAAACCTATGGAAAAGAGTGGACTGCTTTGCGCACCATACATGAGAAGTACGATATTAGAGAGTTATAAGTTAAATAAGTTAAGTACGCAGCTTATGAGTCTAAAATCTAACCGTTCTATGGTAATAAAAAAACTATCATACAAACAAAATTGTTCTTCAATTTTAAAAATAAATTTCATGTTTTAGAATGACTTGAATGTTTTCCATCCTTGATAGTATAGCATTTTTCGTTTTAGGTCTCTAACTATTTTTTTGTATCTTGTCCTGCAATAAAGTTGTTTTCTAGTCTCTCTGAATCTCGGAAAATCTCCGTTTAAAAAAATGGCATAGTTCACAGAACACCCTACTCTACCTTTTCACATCAAGTTTCTAAATCTTTTTAGAGACTTTTCGTGGAGTTGGGGCTAAACAAAAGTTACGTATATATTGCTATCTAGACAAAAAAAATACTAAGGACCAGTTTGCCAAGCGGTTTTCAAAGGAGTTCTAATTCCGACAGAATCAGGTTTAGTAACTGTTTGGTGAGAATATTAGAAATGGAGACTTGAAACCTTAGGATATGTGAACACCTCTAAAAGAGTGTCTTCAACCCCCCCCCCCCAATTAAGCAGATTAAAATCACACAGAATTAGAACAGATAGTCAATAGGTCTCATCGTTCTCCTGACTCTCCTCCCTCTCTCTCTCGCTTCTCTAACTTCTTCACGCCTCCCTCTCTTCCTTCTCCATCGCTGTCAGATGCGTGGTCTCTCCCACTTGTATTTCTTCTCTTGTATCTTCGCTGAAGTCTCCTTTCTCCATCACGTACGGGCATCGGCTCTGTGGGATGGAGGACATTGATCGCTGGTTCTGAGCAAACTGTGGAGGCCCAATTTGGCTGGTCGCTGGTCAAAATTTGTGTTGATTGTCAGAGCTGGCTTGAGGGCGCCGAAGATTTGTGCCCCCCCCCCCTCCCCCACACACACATAACAGCTCACCAAAAAGTAGGGATTACGACTTGATTCATTCTAGTTTCATTCAAACACTTTTGCACCAGGTTATTGAAACCATTCCATTAAATCAAGGGCTCAAAACGTATCCCATTCAACTGACTTCTGAAAGTCATTTTCTCCATCTTCAGGTGTTTGGCAAGAATGGGAAATTAGAGTCGAAGGAAAATAAATTCCAGTCAAACTTAAAATGCAGCCCCAAACCAGAAATTGCCTTTCGGACAAATTTTCAGAAGTCATTTTCCGTTCTCTGCTTGTTTGCTCTTCGCTCACTCTCTCGAAATCAATCTGCTCTCCATTATTGGAAGGTTGAAATTGCTCCTTCCATTATCTTCATCTCCTCTCCATTATATTCATCTCCTCTCCTATTTGAGTTAGAGTTGTGCCGTCTCTCTTGAATTCATGCGTGGATTAGGGTTTTGCTGGCATCTTCAACTTTAAGGGAGACATGGAGCAAGCTTCTACCTCAATCTTCTAAGTTCTCACCTGCTCCCCATTTTTACACAGCATCGAACACTTGTCCCATTTTGACAGTGAGATCAGTCCTGATAGGTTCCTCGATGAACTGATGTTGGTTAGCGCCACATTGCGTTAATCTTTATTGATTTTTGCATCCAAATAATTGATCATTTTTAGAAAATGGACCAAAGAGAGATAGATAGTTTTCAGACTTTCAGCCAAAAACTCAAAAAAGAAAATGACTTCTTGAAAATAACTCATTTTAGATGAGTCATTTTCCATCTTTCCGAATGGCCTTATTGTGAGTTGAAGGAGGCTCACAGAGGGACTAAAAAGAAAATAATGCAAAATAGAAAAAAACAAATAGTAATTCCTCCGACCCATATCTTTCTTCTCACTATCCTTTTGGGCTGCCCCATTTGATTCTTCCTGTTTCCATATTTGGCAAATAAAGTTTACCAAAAGGACTAATTTACCCTCCATTAATTTCTTTTTGTTAGAGGCCAGTCACCCCTACCCTCTTCTTCTTCATCATCTTCATCTGCCCACTCCCTTTTCTTCTTCGTCACACTGTCCCCAACTTCTTCTTCTTCTACTCCCCCCCCCCTCCTTTCTTGTTTTTAACAGTTAAATATACTCCATAAACAATAGCTGCATGAAGACACAATTTACATAAATCAATCATAAAATAAGAATTATATTATATAAAAAAGTAAAAAATGCATTAGTTGTTAAAGAAAACCAAAAATTGAAGGGCTTCTCGTACCACCAAACAAGGTTTATTTACATATTTCAATCAGTTCTTTCATTTCACTATTTTGAACTCACACACATAGATGTTCTTTGTACCACTAATAGAAATTTGAGGGTGTTTTTATATTCATCAATAAAATAATAAGTCAAACTTTTCACAGTAACGCTCAGCAGCTCAGATGTGGAAAACAAATCTAACAATATATTTGAAAATCGCAATATTAAGTTTATAAGGAATGGAAGAAGTTTTATAGACTGACCTGGCCAACCCATTGTCGAAGACCAATAATGTGATCCCGCACTTGTTCTGGGGTAAACAATTCTGTCAATGAGACTCCTTTTATTTTTGGCTTTCCAGACTTGGATCCAGTACTGCTTTCTGGAGGCAGTAGATTTTCTTGTGTAGCCATATCTACTTCCTTTTCAGCCTTACAACTCTCCTGTTTAGGAAAAGCAGATGTAGTACTTGACACAAGAGGATCAATAGCAGGCCGTGGAATACACGTGTTGTCTGAGTTATCCTTGAGCAAATCAGTACTCCCGGGACTTATATGGCCAGTATTTGTAGGAATTTGCAATGTTACTTCTGCAGCCTCAGTTTTTATCACAATATTTTCAGCATGTTGTTCAACAGCCTCTGACTCCATGAAGATATGAGATCCACTAACAGAGTTTGGAGAAATAAAGCTTTCAGTTTCAGATGCAAAAGCTTGAGAGGGTTGCTCAATCTTCATGCGCTTAAGAGAAGGCTGTAAATCTTCTGGAGTTTCAACAACTGAAGGACATGGCTTGGCAGCAAACTTATGCACAGCTTCACCAGTATTAAAAACCTTACAAGATCCATTTACGGCAATTGGCACATCAGAACTAAAATCAGTGCGAGCAATTGGTTTTCTATGAGCTTGCCTAAAACGTTTTGCAGGGATGCAAACGTCACAAGTTGCATCCTTGCAACGCCTGAAATGACTAAGTAAGCGTTTTGAGTCATTGCAACGAGGATGTTTACATCCCAATGCATTGCATTGCTCCATATGCCTTAATAGTTTCTGAATATGTATGCAATTAGGCTCTGGGCATTTCCCCTCTGGAGCAGGGCATCGACGTGCATGAATCAGAAATAGTAACCATCTCATTTGATTTCTGAGCTGCCCCTCTCGAGTGAGGTTACTGGATTTGCGTGCGGAAGTGCTCGAACTATTTGGATTGATCGCACTATTTACAACAGATTGGCCACCAATATCTCCATCAAGACGCAAATGGTTTCTCTGAGCTTCTTCTGATCTAGCAATTCTCTGATGCAACTCTTGCTGACCATTCTGATCTTGTGAGAAGTTACAGGGCATTTGAGATCCATCTTGAAACTTAGGATACCACTGACCTTGCACCATCGAAACTGAATGACCTCCATTAGAAGATTTGTTGAAACCAGTTTGACCTTCTGCAGCATACATATGGTGGTGCAACATCTGTTGCATTTGTCCTGAAGTTGGTGTCAATGATGAAAATGTATCTGGTTGACTGGATGGAGGAACTAACCGATTACTTTTAGATTGTTCTTCATTAGAATTATGTGGATACAGATTCTGCACATCAGAAAACTGAAATTGCTCGGGGACCTGAGAGAGCAGCACTTCATCATGAGTTCCAGGCTCTGTATTGATTTTAGCACCCAAATTAGACATGATCGGAGCTTGACCAATGCCGTTGCTGTTTAGCAAAAGCGGTTGCTGCTGAGTTTGTTGCCTCTGTTGGTGATGGTGTTGAGCAAATTGCTGCTGCTGGAATTGTTGGGTCTGGTCGTGGAATTGCTGACGCGAATGTGATTGTAAATGATTATCACCAAGAGCATGCTGAGGCTGAAACCTCATCTTTTCAGACTGCTCAATGGATTGAAGCTTCAAATTTGTCATTTGTTGTGAAGCATTCACATTAGACTGGTTGATTACGTGAGGGGAGTTCGCTTTGGAAGTGGACTGCAAGGCTGCATCACTTATGTTTTGATTATTCATCCCAGACCCAACAGACGATGCAGGAAATACATTTCCAGTCCCTGAGTTATCAGAATTACTGACTGCATACCTATCACCTGTCATATAAAACCAAAAAAAAATGTTTGGTGTTCAGAAAACAAATTTTAGTCATATTGCATTTTCACTTTTCAGTATGAATGGAAAACTGAGATGCAGGAGGCACCTTGCATTACTGATCTCTGGTGTTGGTCAAATTGCTGGGATAACTGCTTAGACGGGTTAGCATACATGGTTGGTGTCATATATCCTTCAGAGGCTCCTTGACCATTCATTACTTGCAAATTGTTTCCAATCATGCCAAGTCCATCATTCAAGGACCCAGTTGATGCCATATAAGATCTAGATTGCAATCCAGGTCTCATTCCACTACTCATATGGCTGCCAAGTGCTTGCAAGATACGACTGTTTTGGCTAACCACATGCTGCTTTTGCTGCAGTGACTGTGATGCTACAGTGGGCTCAATACCAGAAGGCACTCCGACAATATTTGATGACTCCAAATTCATGTAAGACTGATTCGTGATGTTGTTATTTATATTATCATTGTTATTATTATTATTATAACCAGGAGTAGGCATCATTTGGCTTGTCATCCTTTGTGCACCCATCGATGTTACCAAGTTATTCCCCCTAGAACTGATTGAAAAGCTTGAAGGCATTTGTTGATATCCATTCCCCAAAGAACCTACAAGTAGATGTTACATTAGATTAGGGGAATTACACAATTTTCTACATCTCAAATATTCACACCAAAGAAAGTTCTACCATCAGCAGAGTTATAAGAACCACAATGAACTCCCCCAGAGGGCCCATTAGCTGTGGGAAGAAAGTTTCCAGAGTTAATACATGAGGTTGCTGTAATAGGTCCTCCAGGATTCCCAGCAATAATTGAGCTGTCAACTGATGATGATCCAATTAGGGTAGAATTAACAGTCTGATGCATGCCTGGTGTTGGAATCATAGTGCCGATAGAAGAGGATGAATTAACATGCGAAAACCGTGGATTATGACTATTAGGTATCTGCTTGATTAGAAAATGCAAGCGGCTCTCTAAAGATGCCAGATTCAGATATTCCTCCTATCAGCACATATTAAACAAAATCAACAAAACTTAATCAAGAATAATGAAGAAAAATGAACAATAGTCCTAACGAAAAATAAATAAACCTTTGAAGGAGCACTCTTGAACAAAGCTTCCTCCAGCCTTTTCACAATATCCACCATCTTGTTTGGAGCTATCTCTTGTGCATGTTGCCTTCGCATCAGATGCATATAACTGGATGGAAACATGGTTAGAAACTTGACTAGATAACATAAGTAGTTACAACAACTCAGTACAATCCCAATTCCGTTGGGGTTTGAGGGCAAGATGTGCATAGTCTTCCCCTCGAAAAACACAAAGCGGTTTCTGTTAGACCCTAGATGCATTGCAGCTTTTACTTCCCAAACCATCATAGAAAGTATAAAGCAAAGGAGGCTAAATGTGCCACATAGACTGATAGACTTAGTCCATTATGTGTCCAAGGCTAAAACATTGTCGGGCTCTTTTAGCTCCATTGGCAATGGATGATATAACATTACTAGATATGAAAGGGAAATATTCATTATAATCTCTAAATCACGTAACTATCTGCTCTGCCAAGCCAAAAAGGCATACTAATCCAAGAAAAGAGTGTCCTGGCAGTACACCATCTTTTTTTAAAAAAACAAATAATTTAGTGGGCAGCGCGACTACAAGGCATATGCACGGAGAATAAATGGTATTTGGATCAAATGGCTCATGTACCACGATGTAGAACATTTCGGTGGAGAGTTTATCAGCCTATATGAAAGAAGTACGCAACTAGCAACATGCCACTGCTGGACACAAGACCAAACAATTGGGCTGTCAAGGGCAATTTAAGGAATCTGCAGGATAGCCAAACTTATGAGGGAAAATGCAGGTTCATAAAATGAAGATTCAAGCAATCTTCACAGAGCATCATAAAGTAGAGAGAGAGAGAGAGAGAGAGAGAGAAACACATGGTAGTTGAAGATAGCAAGCCGTGACCATCAGCTTTGCAAAATGAACATATTTTATATAGTAAAAAATGAACACCAATTGGACGGAGCACGGAGGGAGTAAATAAATATAAATAACAATGGGCGGTAAAGAAAAAAATGTGAAACACCCAAAACAAATATGCAAAAACTCCATTCCCCGTTTCTGTTAAAAAACAAGAAATTAAAAATCCCACTGTAAAATTAACAAATGCATACCTAATACACAAAATTTATAAATAAAAAAAAGAAAAGGAATCCTGTCGTTAAACTAAAAAATGCATCCCTCTGCTAGCACAAAACAAGACGGGAAAAAATAGAACATGAACAACAAAAACAAAACAGGAGTCAAAGGGAAAAAATTGAAACTTACGAAATTGGAGTCTGAATCAGGCTCAATCAACAACAATGGAGAGGTTAGGGTTTTAGAGTGAGCATTGCGCATCAACTAGGGTTTTTTATTTTAATGTTTTAACATAAATACGCTTTGGTCTGGGTCAAATGACATGCTACATTTCTAATTGTTGCCCAACTACTCGCGCCTAGCTTAAGGAGTCATTTTTTACAATGCTTTAGCTTTGAGTAAATAATGGACTAAATAAATATGGAGAGTGAAACTTATTGCTTCTTATTTTCTATGAAACTTTGGGAAGTAAATGCAACAGGTCTAATGGAAACAACCTCTCTGTTTTTGCAGGGGTAAGGACGTAAGAATACATGCATCTTGATCTCCAAACCGCAATGGAGTTGGGATTATACTGGGTCTTTTTGTTGTTCCAACACTAAATAAAGAACTGAGCACTTCACCTGAGTATATTAGTACATTGATTTATTTATAGTCCGGCAGAATAAGAAAAGAACACTTCCTTGTTCATTTACTCTTGCTTTTAATAGAGAATCATTTTCAATGAACATATAAACCCTAACATTATATAAAATATTGAATCCTACTTTCATAATTACATTGCTAAATATATGAAAATCACACAAATGCAATTTAAACTTACTGTTTGACCACATATTGTCATGGGTTCGGTTCTTTTGACATTGCCCACCAATGTCATAATATGAATTGGTCTATTTGGGGGCACTAAAGTGCTTCCTACCCCCGTAACCCCCGTTACCGTGACAAAGCACTCCAAGGGACAGGAGTGAGGGCACAAGGCATTCTTGAGGGGTTAGGGGGTAGGAACCACTTTCGGGCATTGAATATCAATGTCAAAAGAACTAAAGTGTATTGTCATATATGTTAAAAAAAATCATATTCATGTGATCCTACTCCTATGAAAAAATCAATCGGAACTTTGGGGAGGGGCGGGAGTGAGGGAGCTTTTTTTTTGGGGGGGGGGTGGTGGAGGGGTAGGAACCACTTTGTGGCCAATCAGAGCACCGTAAAGCTTGATGTCATAATATGACATTGAATACCAATGTCAAAAGAACCAAAGTGTATTGTCATATGTGTAAAAAATAGCATATTCCTGAAACCCTACTCCTATAAAAAAGAGACAGTTGCAGAATATGTGATGATATCATCTTGAAAAATATCATACTGTTGCCTCATACGATTTTCATCCTAAGGGGCATCCAACGTAAAACATTGCCACTAGTCCACTACCCACTATGTGTTTTGCATGAAATTGTTGTGTATATTTTATACAATTAAATGGAACTAGAGTTTGAAACTTAAGTGCCACTAACCCTAACTAGCTGGGATTAAGGTGTTAAAAATGATGATGTGAGAGGAAGATTCATTTCTTGAGAGGGACACAAAAGAAATAGCAACATATGTGTAAAGCTACTTAGATAATGTAAATATGGCAATAGGATTTCTTACATTTTATTTAAAATGAACTCCCTTTGGGCTTTGAGTGTCTCTGTATCCATATTGGCCATGTTACGATGTACAGATGGGTTTTGCATCTGATTGGACATTGGATTTCCATTTTGTTGGGACATACCAGTGAAGGAATTGCCCCCCTGATTTGGCACCTGCCCCGAGATCTTCCCCGGTATATGGGCTTGTAAATTCATTTTACTTCTTGCAACCCTATAAACAGAAGACTCATAAGATGAGATATTACATGTCCATCATTTAACACAAAACAAGAAACAATTTGGTGGAACAATTGGGTGTTGTTACATGATAACATCACAGTTAGTCAATTAGTCACCAATAAAATAACAACAACTGTTGGATTTAACAATATGCCTCCACATCAACATGTTTATATAAAACATGGATAGTAACACAACTACAATTGAACATGAATTACATGAGGATCATTAAAACACTAAACGGACTGTTAGAATTAAAACATATCTAAACAAGAATATGTAGAAAAATATTGGATAGGCTATTGAGACTAAAATCAATCTCTCAACTCAATTTATTCACAAATGGAATAGAAAACTAAACAAATTAATCTTTAAACATCATGTGGCATCGTGTATAACTGGGCAATAGCCTCCTTCATAGACACTCGAATGCTCTTCAACCTCAAAGAAATCTTAAGCTATAAATATGGAGAGAAAAATTGACTTGAGCAATTTGATGTAGAAGCTCACGCATTATGAGTGTTTCATAGCATATACATAGACATTATGTGTGTGTCAGATTGTGTGTATATCTCAATGAAGTTTCACACTTGAGGGTTGGAAAATCAAAGCACCCCGGTTCAAATGACATTGGAACCCAATGTCATAGCATGACCTAGGGTGCCTACGGTGCTATGTTCAAGAAACTGATGGTTCCTACCCCCCCCCCCCTACACTCACATGTTGATTGGCTACAATAACTGTTGTAGCCAATTGGTGAAGGGGAGGGGGCTGAGGGGGCAGTGTGGTTTTTTTTTGGGGGGGGGGGGTTAGGGGGGGTAAGAACCAGCAATTTTTTTAACGGAGCACCGTGGCCACCCCGGGTCATGTTATGACATTGGGTACCAATGTCATTTGAATCGCCCCCATTTAAAGTTTAGAGATTTTCAGATATTTACATCCCTCCCAAAATTAATAGAATAACATCTCACAACTTACAAGATTGAATTTTTCCATGATCGAAATCTTGATTAAAATGAAGTCATCTCTTGACTCAAGGAGGAAAGACCTCCCCTCCCCCCCTCCCCACAAGTAAATAAACTCTAAGAGGGGTAAAGCGGTGACTTCGGAATCTTAACGACTCAATCTTTCACAACTCCTGACCTCAATAATCATGCAATCATAAACTTTTTGTGATTGAGAAGCTAAGGCAATGATTCAATTTGATTAGATGAGTATAGGCAAGCGGTGGAGGAGGCTACATGAAGCTTAAAAACAATGTTCTTAGTTGTCTATTCAATTTTGTCATTTAAATGAGTTGGTTGATTAAGTATTTCACATTTTACTTTCCTCAAGAATTTAAGAATTGTCTGAATTCAAACTGCCCATTTGGTGTATTTTTAATGGTCCTCAAGTCATTCAATGTCAATCAAAGTTTTTTTTTATTTTCAATTTTAGCATTTTGATGTTACACCTAATCTACTTTGTAAGGGTCCAAAACATGACCAGAGACCGAAAGTCCAAAAACCTCTCTTGAATCCAGACTAGAGTGCCTCTGGTTCAGACCGATTGGACTGAAGTTCTTGCAATGTGTAAGGATGTCTACTTCTATATTTTAAAAATTGTTAATTTCTATTAACTCCAATATCACTAATTTACTAGTTTTATTGAGCATGTCTAATCTTAATTTTTAAAAGATTAGCTCTAAACTGGAGTATGGCCTACTGATTCACCTTATGACACCAAGGTAAAGAGTATTAATTTTAGATATGAGCCAAGAATCCAATACAAGAGATATCTTCATGGGAAATTGGGAACTGGTTTGTAATTCAAAACCAGTAGAATCGTTTTTTAGAATCGGGTTAGCATACTTGATTCCCCTCATCACCGCATGTCAAACATAAGAAGAAGAAGAAAAATTGAAGCTCCAGACCTGTGGTGTAGGGAGGCGTTTCACGGCATCCGTCTGTCCTGCGACGGTGGGGACTGCGCCGGCGAGGGGTGCGCTGGGCTTTGCCGGGAGGGGTCAATTCCAACTTGCAATTGGTTCGAATCAAAGATAAATAAAGAATCAAAACGATGTTCAAGACCGGGCGGGGAGGTGCTTGACGGTGTCGCGGCGGTGGGGTTGCGCCCTGGGGGGGGTTTCGCTACTTGTTTGTCCTGAGTGGAATAGGGAAAATTCCGTAAAAAGATCAGATCTCAGGAATTTGGAGATGACGCAGGGTGCGTTTGGCCGGAGGGATTGCTATTTTGCGAAATAGACCTAATTGTAATATTGGTGGTCTCCAAGGCCTAATTGTAATATTGGTGGACTTACATTTACTCCCTAATAAAAGGTTGGTCTTAAGCTCATAGGTTTAACCTATTTATTTTATAGTCTCTCCATTCTAAAATAGATTACACAATTATTATGTTGACCTTACAATAATTTCTACTCCGTATTAGTTTTTAGGGTACAATTCGTTGGCACTCGTCAACGGTGTCACTCTAGGTGTTACTGTATTTTTTGAACACCTCCAATACTTCTTCATGAAATTGATGGTTCCTCCCTCTCTAGCACCTCTTAAACCCCTACTCCAGCCCCCACACCTCAATGTAACCCTAAAAAATTCTCACGCTCTCCTATAATACCTCATCATCTCCCCCCCCCCCACAAAAATAACTTAACTCTCATGCAAACATACTATATCTCACTCACACGTTATACATCATCTTCTTGGCTTATCTACCTCTCATGAATATGTAAATTCCTCCGCCATCAAGATAAATAAAAGTCTCTTTTTAGTTGGCCTACTCGGTGGTTAACTCTTGTGTAGAAAGAATATTTTTATTGATGATTTGTGGTGATTACATGTGAATATATACTGGGAGTCTCAATCCTAATTATGGAAGGAGAGACATAGTAGGAAGGTGATACAGTTATGGTAACAATATAATTCAATAATATTAAATATATATATATAATATATTTAACATGCTCCCGGCTACGTCGGATGTGGAAGCGGTCTGATGCCCAAGCTATCTCTGAAGTCAAGAAACAGAAGTGAAGGTAGCCCTTTGGTGAAGATGTCGGCATACTGGGAGGATGATGGAACATGCAGGACTCGAACATGGCCGAGCGCCACTTTGTCACGAACGAAGTGGATGTCTACATCAACATGTTTGGTGCGCTGGTGCTGTACGGGATTGGTTGAGAGATAGACGGTGCTGACATTATCATAGAAAACAAGAGTGGCACGCTAGAGAGGTTGCTGCAGCTCAAGGAGGAGGTTGCGCACCCAAGTAGTTTCTGCTACGGCATTGGCTACGGCCCTGTACTCGGCTTCTGCACTGGATCGCGAAGTGGTTGCCTGTCGTTTAGACGACCAGGAAACAAGATTGTCCCCTAAAAACACGTAGTAACCTGAAGTAGAATGCCTAGTGTCCGGGAAACCGGCCCAATCAGCATCGGAGTAGGCCTGGAGATAATCTGTGGAAGAAGGTTTCAGATGGATGCCATGAGTTCAGATATCGAAGAACCCGCTTCATGGAGGTGAGGTGAGCGTCACGGGGTGCATGGAGATGAAAGCAGAGTTGTTGGACCGCATAGGTGATGTCAGGCCGAGTGAAGGTAAGGTACTTTAGAGCACCCACAATGGATCTGTAGATGGAGGGATCTGAGAGTAACGTGCCCGTGGAGGAGGACGGTTTGGCCTTTGCATCGACCAGAGTAGTGATAGGGCGATATGAGATCATCCCAGCACGCTCAAGTATGTCATGTATGAACTGAGTCTGATGAAGAAAGAGCCCTGTAGGCGTGCGATGAACATTAATGCCAAGAAAGAAGTGTAAATCCCCCATGTCGGTCATGGCAAATTCTATCTTGAGCTGGTGGATGAGACTCTGAAGGAGTGATGCTGGTGAGGAAGATGTCATCCACATAAAGGAGGAGGAATGATGTGCCCGTGGTATGAGAGAAGATGAAGAGAGACGTGTCAGCCTTGCACCCGCGGAAACCAATGGTCTGAATGAAACCGGCAAATCTGTGGTACCACGAGCGTGGTGCTTGCTTGAGCCCATAGAGCGCCTTCTTGAGTTTGTATACATAGTGAGGTCTGGCGGCACCCTGAAACCCAGAAGTCTGGCTAGCATAGACTATCTTCTGAAGGTGGCCATGCAGGAACACGTTTTTGACATCGAGCTGGTGATCGAATGGGCCATCCTCGAGACAATGCAAGGCTAAGGACGATTCGAACAGTGGCTGGCTTGATGATGGGGCTGAAGGTCTCGTCGTAGTTGACTCCGAAACGTTGATTGAAGCCACGGACCACCCATCGAGCTTTGTACCTAGATAACTCACCTGTTGGGCCAAGTTTGTGTCTGAAAAGCCATTTACCGGTGATGATATTTTGTGAGGGGGAGGGGGGTACTAATTCTCATGTGTCATTCTTAATCAAAGCATTATATTAATCACACATAGCAGCGTGCCAGTTTGGATCCTTGAGTGCATTACGGTATGTTGGGGGAAGGGGGGGATGGGGCCGGAGGTGTGGNTCTTAGAGATGCTGAGACTTGGAACAATGCCCTCCTTTGCAAGATCCTTTGGAATATTGCATCAAAGAAGGACTCACTATGGGTCAAATGGGTGCATAATATATTTATTAAACAAGATGATGTTTGGCAGTGGCAGCCTAAGAAGAGATACTCCGTCCTCTTCAAAAGGCTTGCCTATGTGCGAGAGCTTCTTGTCCAGAAGCTTGGCAGCCATAACTCCTCCATGGAAGTGGCTATGCAGACTGTGTGTGAGGGTGATAACCTTGTTCCGGGCAAGGTGTATGATTTGCTTAGGGTGAAGGACAACCCCAAGCCTTGGATGGCTTTTATTTGGCACTCGACTATTCCTCCTAAATGCGCCTTTACGATGTGGCTAGTATTTAGGAGGAGACTGCCACTAAATCAAATTTGGAATTTCTGGGCCTGCCTATGGAGTGTACCCTCTGTGGGGATACCCTTGAGGACATTGATCATTTGTTTTTTGGGTGTGTAATCTCAAAGCAGGTTTGGGAGGCCATTAAGCAGTGGTTACGGATTGATGGGCACCTGAGCACTCTTGATAGAGCTGTTCGTTGGATGAAGACCTTTTGAAGAGGTGATGCTGTTCTTAAGAAGGCTAGGAGTATTGGCCTGGCATGTACTGTTTTCCAGATTTGGAAACAACGTAATGCTACCATTTTCGATCAAGAACCTATTCATGTTGAGGGTATGATTTTTAAAATCAAAGTGATGGTCTATTCCATTTTGGGGAGACTCTGGCATACGTATTCCCTCCCCTTTTGATGTATGTTATTGTTGTTCTTGGTGTTTATGTTGGCGTGTGTTCCTTGCTTTATGTTTGATTGTGTTGTTGCTTGTTGGGCATTTGGTGATGTAGCCATTTTGTCTTTGTTCGGAATTGACTTGTTGTCATTTCCACGCTCGGGTATGCCCGTTCTATTTGTATATTCTACTTCTTTATTCTATTTACATTTTCATCAAAAAAAATAATCTGGTAACACCGGTCCACCGTATGTCCGGTTTTGCCACAATGAGTGCATTGATATTGGGCCGGAGGAGGAGGACGTCCCACAGCAAACGCCATTGCATCTGTGCGGTCATCCCTAGCACGAACAATAGACCGATGACGTTCTTCCCGAGCGACCAACGCATAGACCCGACTAATGTCTGGAACCGGTTCCGTCCCGAGGATTTGGGAGCGGACAGACCCATATTGTTCGTCGTCCAGACCGAGAAGAAAAGTGTGGGTTTTCACGTGTTCGACGTCCGCACAAATCAAGGCTGCAGCTGAACAATTTGCAACCGAACGTAGGGTCCTTGGTTCCATACAACTGATTCCACAATGTAATAAACTGATTGTAGTAGGCTACAACGGACTGGCCCTTCTGACAGAGGTTTTGCATCCCGGTTTTCAAATGATGAACACGAGGCCCATTCGAAACACCATAACGAGATTTTAGGTCCGACCACAATTCATGAGCCACCGAGTGAGACACGATGCTTGGCTGAACAGACTCGTCAACACTATTTAGAATCCAAGCACAGATAATGGAGTTGTTCGACTCCCAGGCCGCATACTCAAGCTCGTCCGACGGCTTTGGGACACCATCGGGAAACAAAAACTTCGCTTTACCTCGTCCCTTTAGTGCGTTACAGATCGCCTTCTCCCATGTATCAAAGTTATCTCCACGCAGCAGATATTTCGTGAGAGAATTTCCAGGTCCTTCGGATGGGTGAAGGTAGTACGGAGAAGATGGATCGTGAATAGGGATCACCGTCTTCTTGGCACTGGGAGTTTCTGTCATGTCGTCGACGAAGCTGATGCACTCGCCGTACGTCAGAGGTTACGCGCAGCAGGTTACGGCAGGCTAGGGTTTCGAGAGTCCCAATATGGCTCCGATACCATGTAAAACTTTGTGTACAAATGCCTTGCTTTCTCATTAATCAATAGGTGTTTATATAGAGAAGTACAATGGGCCAAGCCCAACACACAATAAGTACAACACATAAATACAATCTAAACCCGAAACAATACATGACCCGCTAACACTATTCTTTGGTCATTAGTAAAAGAATATATATCTTACCAGACTAGAGGCGTCCCCCTTTTGTCCAGTCATAACTATTCGGTGGTACCAAACCGAATTACATCTGTGCACAGATTCTAAGATTCAAGTATGTCTCGCAACACATCTTTTGGCCTCAATCTTTTAATCTTATATAATACCATTATCTATATCTAAATATAAATTTAGACTATTACCACAATATCTAAATAATGTGGTAACACTAAAGCAATGCCTTCCATTTCTTTATGTTATATTTCAACATTATCAAATCTAGGTGTATTACACAGTAATTTAAGGTCAACATAAAATACCTGTCTAGAGGAAGCATAGAGACGGGGCCGTGCCTGTAGAACAATTTTTTTTTTATAAAAAAAATTCATTCTCTTATTTATTTTCCTCTAAATGTTTTCCTCAAATTTTTTTTTAAAGTCAGGTCAGAAGATCATTTTATAAACCAATTTTCTCTGATACCAAAATGTAACACCCCACCCTGGATGACCCGAGTCAACCAGACCAGAGTGCTAGTAAAATCGGGCTACTTTGTAAAATATCATTTTTTTGGAAATACTCTTTTTGATATCTAAAGAGAATTTAAAAAAAACATTTCCCGCGTAAACTTAAGGTAAAAACATCCACAGTTAATACAACCTTACCTTGGGTTCAAGCCCACAAAAAAAAACAAAGTAAAATTTAGTTCGACGTTTTATTCATTATTAAATATTAAATAAGAACTTCTTTGGTACGGCCTCCGCGTCCAAGCTTTCCTCCTCAGCAGTCGTTCACCTTGCTAGTATCTGCGTGCAGTTAAAAAAAACTACACGCTCAGCAAAGCTGAGTGGCAAATAACCAATAGACATATATAACATGTAAACATATTTTTGAGCATTTTAGGTTATTCCTGTTTTATGAGCTTTTTGCATAATTAAAAATCATTAAATAGATAATCTCACTTTGAGAAGTTACTTGGGGACATTTAGAAAACACTTGACCTACTAGGTTAACCACAGATTAGGAACTAAGCCGTGACTAGGCTGGAACACCGCACTAGTCGATACGTAGTTTTACTTCGGATACCTCCCCGTGACCTCGGGTCCAGTAATCAGAAGTGAACCCTAGACCCACGGGGTCATCGTCGGGTTCTCGTGCGCACGTTGTGGTATGATTGTTTATAGGCTCATCCACATGGACACGGTCCGGCCTTGAAAGTGGTTTGACCCACTTGATAAAAACGTGACAATACTTGGTCAGAGTACGTTGATATATAAATCTTGAACTTTTACTTAGTCCACTAATTTGTTTGATTAATCTAGCTAGTAAAGTCATTTACATAAATCGTGTTTTTTTAATCTCTTAAAAAACATCATACGATATTGTCCCCTTTTTCATTTTTCAAAACATCATGCAACTTGATTAATTAGACATTCAAAGGGTTAAAAAGACATTTACAACTCTATTCATTAATCAATCATATACCAATATTTTTAAGGAAACAAACATACCAATTTTTTTTATAATTATGATCAGTTGATCACTTACGACATGGAACAAAAACAATTAAATGGAATCGACAAAAGTTTATTATGACATGAACAAAGTCTCATTTTTGTTTATAAAACTAACCAAACTGTTTTTTTTTAAACCTTTCGACCAAACTGTAGTTTGATCAATCATAATCATTGATTATGATTAATCATTATAAAACCTTCGCCCCTTACTATTTAAAAGCAAAACTATTTTTTTTTACTCTAGTTTTTTTTAAACCCTCGGCCTTCTTGTTTATAAAACCCAAAATGTTTTTTTTCCCTTTTTCCTTTTTATACTCTAGTTTTTTTAACCCACAGCCTTTTTGTTTATAAACCAAACTTTTATATTTTTTTAAACTACTGCCGTATATATATTAATCATCATAATAACCAACATTTTTTTTGCTATCATTTTCTTCCCTTAACCTTCGGTTATGATAATTCTTTTTTTTTATTTTTAAAAAAAGTACTAATGATAGTAATAACAACAACAACAACAACAGTAATAATAATAATAAAGAATAAAAAGTTCATTCTTTATCCATTACCGGAAGTGTGCAATTACACTTTTCTTTTTGTTTCTTTTTTTTTTTTGAAGCCAAGTGAAATTTATGTGGAACATGTATATATATTTTTTATTATTATAATTATTATCCTTCTCTTTTAATTTATTATCTAGAGGAGTAAATTCATGTATGAAAAAGTAAAAGGAAATGCACAAAAATATATTAACATGAAATATATATCTAAAGGTTAAGGTCAACGGCACACCTTCGATACCGGTTAGACAAAACACTAGCTTGATGATGTTGACGGAATGCTTTCATGACGGCATCTCCTACGTTGATCTCCACCTTGACTATACCGCGAACCATTTTTAAACACCTATCAACCCCTTTTTTTGTTTTTTTTAATTTTACCCTCAAGTGGCTATGAGTTTGTCTTCCTAAGGGTCCCTATTTATAAGAAGGAAAGAAAGTTCTAGAGAATGAATGGGAAGTGAAGGGTTGCACAATAAACTAAAGAATTTAGTAAATTTTATTAAATAATACGGAGTATATTATTACTAATGTAATAATTGTTGAAGTAAATTTTGTAACCCCATTGTTAAAGATGGTGAAGAGACGTGATTTTGAGTAGGAAATTCAAGGGTTTCCTGCTCCGTTTGTTTAACATTATGTGTCTAATTTCCACAGTTTCATTTATTAAATATTCCCAGAAAAATATAAAATTTATACCGTTAAGTTCCATATTTTTCACATATCATTATAACATAACTTGTTTGTCAAGAAAATAGGTTCACTTGAACAAACTATATTATTCAGATAGTAGAGAACAAAAACTAATTTTATTCTCTTTCACTTTATTCTATTTTTTCCATCTCCACTAGTAATTAATCACTTAAAAATTAAATTCCAAATTGATTGTTTTTTTAGATAACTAAAAGTAACTTTTTTTTAAAAAATACTACTCTTTTCTTTGTACTAGAAGGTTAAAATTTCTAGACCAGTTTTCAGGGCATTACATTTCTCTCCCCCTTAAGAGAAATTTCGTCCTCGAAATTTGTATAAGATGCACAAATAGTTATATTTTCCTTTTGATTAATATCACAAGTAAAATTCTGGCATTTATTTACTCGTTGAAATAGAATATTAAAAATGTTTAGTCAACTTGAGTTAAGAGGGCTCGTAAATTTTGGCATTCATATACTCGTTTCCAATATCACACATCTCAACGTAAATTATCTTCTCTTAACTCTTGATCACCATGTACCATTTCATCCAGGAGTGATTCTATGGCAGACCTAAGGTCGACATGGACCTTCTCACACAATTTTCTTTTTAATTTTTTTTTAATATCTTTATTTCAATACTTAAAATGCTTATTCAGGAAATATGATGCCCCACCCTACACCTATAGTACATATAAATATATAATGATTTTGCCTTGATTAAATTCTTGGAATATTGGTTTTTCCATAACTCATTACATTTTTTTGTCATTATATAGTGTCCATGTTTATGCTCCAATGTAACAAGGTAATTAGTTTTAATTTACTTCTTCTCTTTTTTTAAACTTATTATTGCTATTATTATTTCTTCTGCTAAAAATTTGGTCAATTCTCAGGTTGATCTCACCTAATGTATTAGAGGATATACGATATATTTTAAGAAATAGAATGGTGATGATGATTTTTAAATTAAGCCTATAAGATTTGCTATTACATAAATAAATAAAAAGTTAAATTAGTTTTGACCCCATTATTTTTCAGATCCTTTGTTTTAACTAATGTATGTGTATCTATCTACTCTATGTTAATTTCCAATTTGATTTACCAAATAAAGCCGGATAAATACTCTTACTTTCTAATGGAAATTTATCCTCAAAAGCATAATTAGCCAAATACTTTTTTAAGTGTCATTCCCCATGAATAACAAGTGACGCTTGCTTTAACAAGCTCACAATTTATTGCATTAAAATATAATTTTTTTTCAGGAATATAATCAGGCTAAACTATGAATTTAATTTAGAGGTGTAGAGATCACGATTTAAGTTTGCTCATTTTATCCTCAACAATAACTACTAGCCTACTAAGAAAAATGTTTTTGTTTATTACTTATTATCATTATTCATCATTAATATGAAATCTCATCTCAATATTAAATTTAGGGATTTTTTTTTAACCCATGCCAAAATGTGACTATGTTTGCCACCAAATCTGAAATTACTTGCAGCCCATATTTAGCATATGATTCCAACAACTTTCATTCAATTGACCTCTCTCTTTTTTGTTAATATTAAATTTTGACATAGTCTTAAAGTTACAATTTACGTTACGTTTTCGATAATTTTGTTTCATCATAAAAGTCGATTATTTTAATAGCATCTTGTGGAAATACTATGTTTTACTCCGTAATGTTCTCATTTTATTTACAATTGTTTAATGGGTGGAAACATTTTTTTAAAACTAGAGTAACATGTGGCAAGATGGTTGCTAATTATACTTTTTTTAACACTTTTTTTTTAAACTAAGCAATCTAGTCTTACGTGCACTCAATTACAAGAAGTAAAATTAATTATGTTTATTTGGATCATTTATGTGTTGTATGTACAATTGTACAAATATTTCAACCTACGAATTTAAGATTTACTAGCTTCACAAAAATAATGTATGCAATGTATAAAATAATCACGAAATTTGATTTTGAGATAGAACTAAATGTAATATGATTTTCTTGTAGTCGACTACATCATCACTTTTCTCTTACATTTTATTATAAATCAATAGATAATTTTAAACACCACTACCCAATGTTTCGTCCTAATCATAAAATTCTATTTTGTAGTTTATTTGTCAACTACAATGGACTCGATCATCTAAGGCTTACTCATGGTCCATCATCAATAAGAATATGATTGTAATTTAGTTTTTCAAATTTCACACATACACAAAAAAAATTTAACCTACAATTTAAAATTTTAATTTCACAACCGCAATACAACGATGTACACAAGGTACATAATGATCATAATACGAGGTTCAATTATAGAATCGACAACAAGACAATATTCAGTATATCTAATTAATTATTTTCAAATATGTTTCATATTTTTTTATCATGTACATTGAGTTAAAGTGTTCTCTTATTAATATTATTTCTTTTAAAGAAATAATCTACCATACTACATCTAATGACTTTCTATGGTCATTCCACGACACTATTTGTAAAACTTTGTGTACAAATGCCTTGCTTTCTCATTAATCAATAGGTGTTTATATAGAGAAGTACAATGGGCCAAGCCCAACACACAATAAGTACAACACATAAATACAATCTAAACCCGAAACAATACATGACCCGCTAACACTCCCCCTCAAGTTAGCGCATGAAGATCATGAATGCCCAACTTGGACCGTAAGAACTGGAAGATGGGTTTAGACAACGGCTTAGTGAAGAGATCGGCTACCTGAAGATGTGTCGGCAAATAACGAGTGGAGACCTCTCGGCGTTGAACACATTCTCGCACAATATGGCAATCAATGTTAATGTGTTTCATCCGCTCATGGAAAACAGGATTCGCAGCAATAAACAACGCGGATTGATTATCACAGAACAACCGAGGAGGATGCAATATGGGCACGCCGAGAGCCTCAAGAACGTGACGTATCCATCTGATCTCTGCACAGGTGTTGGCCATGGCGCGATACTCAGCTTCTGCAGAGGAACGAGATATCGTCGTTTGTTTCTTAGTTTTCCAAGAAACGGGAGAACCACCAAGCATGACAAAATACCCGCTGACCGACCTGCGGGTAAGAGGGCAACTGGCCCAGTCAGAATCACAATAAGCCGTGATCTGTAAAGTGCTGTCACGGCGTAGAAGAATGCCCTGGCCAGGATGTCCTTTGAGGTACCGCAATACACGCATGGCCGCGGCGAGATGATCAACCCTAGGAGCCTGCATAAACTGAGACAATACATGAACAGAGTAAGCTAAGTCGGGACGCGTGATGGTCAAATATATCAACCGCCCGACAATGCGACGATAGCGCCCAGGGTCACGGAGCAGTGGGCTGGCCGAACGGCCCAAGCCATGGTTCGGCTGAATCGGTATGTCGGCAGGTTTGCAGCCCAGTAAGCCGGCTTCAGACAAAATATCCAACGCATATTTGCGTTGGCACAGGACCATACCAGTGGAAGAACGAGCACACTCAATGCCGAGGAAATATTTTACCGGACCCAAATCTTTCAAGTGAAAACATGTATCCAGGTAACGCTTGAAGGAGGCACACAAAGAAGCGTTATTACCAGTGACCAGGATGTCATCGACATAAACCAAGATAGCCAAAACATCAGGACCACGCCTATATAAGAATAGTGTATGATCCTTGTGGGCCTGGCGGAAGCCATATTGACGCAAAGCAGTGGTTAATTTCTGAAACCAATTACGGGGGGACTGCCGTAGACCATACAAAGACTTCCGAAGGCGACACACCTTCCCGGGGTGTAAGTGAGAGTAACCGGGAGGCACCAGCATATATACCTCATCATGCAAATCACCATGAAGAAAAGCATTATTGACATCCAATTGATATACCTCCCAATCCTTGGCCACGGCAACAAACAAAAGAATACGAACCGTACCCATTTTAGCCACGGGTGCAAATGTATCAGTAAAATCAGTACCTGGCTCTTGATGATTGCCCATAACCACAAGGCGCGCTTTGTCGCGCTCTTTCGAACCGTCAGAACGAAACTTTGTCTTATATATCCACTGGCACCCCAACGCACGTCGGCCCGGAGGGAGATCAACAATGTCCCACGTGTGGTTGCCCTCCAATGCTTGAACCTCCTGTTGCATGGCAGCCCGCCAGTTGGGATATTGGACAGCCGTGCGAAAAGAAGAGGGCACCTCCGACGTGGTAATGGCTGCCAAGAACCCACGGTACCTGTCTTGTATTTTATCATAAGTCACGAAGTTAGTGATAGGGAAACGAGTACCTGACCGTGTAGATAGAGCCGGGGAGCTAGCATCGGAGTTGCACGTGAGGGCGGAGTGACAAACATAATCGAAAAGGTGAGAAGGTTGACGACGGGTGCGAGGTGGGAGGGTCCGAAGTGGGACTGTCTGGGGAGGAGAGGAGTGCGGCTGGTCGTCGTCGGAAGAAGAGGGTGACGAGACGGGGGTAGACTGGGGCGACAGAGAGGGAGACTCCACTTCGGACATGGGTTGTGGGGTGGTTGTAGTAGGAGAAACCGGGACTGGGGGTGGGTCTGGTGCTGTAACAATGGCTGGAAAGTCGGCATGTGAAGACGGGGATGAGGACACGCCGACGGCAGGAGAGGGGGTGGCGAAGAGAAACACAGATTCGTCGAAAGAAATGTCCCGAGAATGAAACAAACGGCGTGACTCCATGTCGTAGACACGCCAGCCCTTGGTTCCTGTGGGATACCCTAGGAACACGCACTTAGTGCTCCGAGGGGCGAATTTATTTGGGGGACGTTGTATACGACGAACATAGCAAAGACACCCAAAAACCCGAAGGTGACCGACATCGGGGGGTTTGGAGTTTAACACATGGTTTGGCGTTTTCCCCCCAAGGACCTTGGTAGGTGTACGGTTTATAAGATAAACGGCAGTACGAACACATTCCCCCCAAAACTCGACAAGTAAGGACGCTTGAAACATCAACGATCGGGCTACATTAAGGATGTGACGGTGTTTGCGTTCAACACGCCCATTCTGTTGAGGGGTGTTAACGCAGGAAGTCTGAACCAAGACACCCAACTCACTGTACAATCGGCGAAGGGGACTGTTCAGGAATTCAGTCCCATTGTCAGATCGAACAGTGTTAATAGTTTTGTGAAACTGGGTATGCACAAAGGCAAAGAATTGCGTTAAACAGCCCGTCACTTCACTTTTATCAATGAGAAAATAAACCCAAACAGCACGAGAATGATCATCGACTATAGTCAAAAAATAATGAGCACCAGTAAACAAACACGGAGAATAAGGACCCCACAAATCACAATGAATTAAATCAAAGATAGCTTCGGCTTTATTGGTACTCAAAGGAAACACAGAACGAGTTTGTTTTGAATAAAAACAAATGTCACAAGATTCAATCTTTCTAATTTCAGACGCACTTTTATTGAAAGGAGGAAACGACAACACATTTGGAGACGGATGACCAAGTCTTTTAGGTAAAAGAGTGGCTTGATCGACACTAAGAGCAGAAACGGTAGCGGAAGGCTGGAAAACGTAAACTCCATTGCTAGCATTACCCCGACCAATCTCCACCATCGAAACTCGGTCCTGCAACACACAACAACGATCATAAAAAATAACAAGACAGTTGTTGGCCCGCACGAGGCAGCCAACTGATATAAGATTACACCGCAAAGTAGGAACGAACAACACATTCCGGAGTACCAAGGTGGGGGAAACATGCACACTCCTACTTGTTTTAGCCAACACACGTGACCCATCCGGGAGAGTGACGGGGCACGGCGGAATTGGGCTAACATCAAAAAGGCAAGAAAAGGTACCGGTCATGTGGTGGGATGCGCCGCTATCAACAAGCCAATCCTGCGACGTAGACTGCGGCATGTCATTCAACGACATATGAGAAGACGAGGGGCTGAGCATAGAGAGAAGACGTGTCACTTGATCGGAGGATAGAGACGCGGGGGTGGCCTCGCCAGAGTGCACAGCGCTGGACACCTCTACAGCCGCTGCACTGGCCGTCCCTTCGTTGGCAGTGCCACCACTGCCTTTGGTCCCCCGTCCCCCTGTTCGGCCCCCACGTCCAGTTCTGCCGCCGCCACGACCACCCCTGCCACCTGCAGGGAAGCCAATAATCTGGTAATTTGAGGTGGAATGCATGTCCAGATCCTATATTCAAACTGTGGAATTTGAGGAAGATCCTAAGTATTGCTACCACTGTCAAACTTGGAACCATGGGCCTTTCTTTTGTAAGGTACTGGAACAAAAGAAAAATAAGGAACTAGAGGTTATCCACGCTAATCTTTTGGAGACAGCTAACAAGGAGAAGGCCCCGCCTAGAGAATGGGTTCCTACTGGAAAGAACAACGGCAGTGGAGGGTATACTGAGCCAAAAGGGGGAAATGTTCCTTCCTCTTCTAACACTGCCAAGGTACTAGATGTGCCACATGTGGCTGGAGTTGGTGTTCTGACCAAGATTCCTGGGAAACAAACTCATGATGGGGCTGTTATGGGTAATACAAAGAAGAAGGGGAATGATGCTAATTTGGTTGGGAGGAAACATGATGCTTTGAAGGGAGGCAAGGGGCCAGGCCCACCTCATTGATGAAGATTCTCTGTTGGAATATTAGAGGACTTAATAGGTCCTCTAAACAAAACTTTTTGTGTAAATATCTTTTGGAGCTTGGTGTCCATTTTGTCTGCATTCTCGAAACTAAACTTACAGAAGCCAAGTTAGAGGTGTTTGTGAGTGCCAAACTACCTGGTTGGAAATATGCCACTAATTTTGATAATATATATGGGGGGCGTATGCTTGTTTTGTGGAATCCATCCTTTTTTGCTTGTAATGTTTTGGAAAAAGGTGAACAGTACATTCATTGTAACGCAA